TATCTAATTCACTTTTACATAACATGTTGACAACAATAGCTTATCTAACGGCTTCACTACAATTATATGGATTATTCATTAGAAAGTAGTAGTAATTGACTTCTTACTGAGATTTTTTATCAACGGCGCCATCAACGTATCCACGACGGAAAGGTAAAAGCTCGAGCTGGCTAGACCTTGATTTCGTCGCTGACAGAGCCTAAAGAAAGCCTATATTCACGAGCAAGTAATGAGATAGACTAGTAACAACTGTGAAAGGAGAATAGGATAATGGTGAGTTGAACAGCCAAGCATGCTTCGCCTGTAAAGTATATCGATTGGACTCAACATGATTGATATTTTGGTTCTATCGCATTATATCATGAAAGAAGGATGGACGATGCAGAGTTTAATTTGAAGTGTATCATTTCAGTAATGACAGTGATGTAGTGGCAAGGGTGCAAACTACTTGCTTATTGGCCTTTGAGATCGTTTCCTTACAATCGACACTGTTTTAATCGCTTCAAATTCATATCGAGGCAACACTTCTTATTACAGAAAAGACTTACATATTTATAGCAGTTTTACTGCATTGCCAAATTGTCACCCTAGATAATTAGTTCGATCCTACTAAATCATTTCCTATTTTGTCATGTCACCATCTCAGTTAAGCTACTATATATGGCATAGATCCCACGTCGTAGTAATTGATAGTCAAATAATTCTACAAAGCCAATCTAGAAATGTAAACTGAATATTTCGTTTTATCAAGGACCATTATAGAAATTAATTTTAAGCTCTATGTTGATTACTTCGTCATTTTGGGCAAAGATCAATTTAAAATAAATAAACTTTTTCTAAATTATCTACAAAATGAATTAAAGGAAGTCTTGCAGCTAACAACGGCTTGATAACCGTCCTTTTATGATACTAAGTCCAGTTAAAGCAATAGTTCTTCAATTTAAAATCTATATTGCTACTGGAAACATTAACATTCTACGTAGGAGGTCGAAAATAGATTCGATTAACAACTATAATATCTACCGTACACTATTTTTTTCTCGTATGTAATTAATAGGAAGGATCCAATTAATATTGCGAATAAGATGGGAATCAACTCGATTACCATTTACTCGAATTAATCGAAAGATAGATCGATCAGCATATCATCTACAAAAATCTAAGGCAATATAGACAAATTTGATGGTTAGTGATAAGAAACGTTCATTTTCTTCAAAATTAAAAATTCTCTTTAAATTTACTAATTGAAAAAATATACTAGTGTTTCGTGTAGAAGGAGAGAAATATTATTTAACTGCAAGTTTGTTATCTCTATGCTTTCCATGGATATCGGTATGAATATTGATTGAAATATAGCTGCGTTAACATGGCTTGTAAGTCTTTTGTAGACTATTAATTGTATATTGACCGATATTTTCAAAATATTATTTAGTTGAGTGTTTTTCTTAGATTTCGAATTTTATTGTTAATAGATAGGTCAAATAATCACCTGATCTGGATCTTGCAGGATATATTATTTAGCTATTCATACTATTAAACAAGAGTAAGAAAATACAAATGCTTTTAGAGTAAAAGAGAAGAGAAGATGCTACTACGTGCTATAGCCTGGCAAGGTATTGACCGTTGTTAATGATTGAAAGTAAACCAAGCAATTGGTCTAAACAATCTATTGCTTGAAAGTCAATAAAGTCAGATATCAACTACAACAACAATTTTGTAAGATAAATAGTTCGTTACTATTTTGAAATTGATTACTTGACAGCTTGAAATTTATTCAAATTAGTTTTAGAATTTACCTATAAAAAATCTGGTAATGAATTAGAATGTGACAATATTACTGTTATGTATGGTCTACTACCGCGCTAGAAAGTAGTTTTATCCTACTCTAGGATATATCAAAACTCTCAGTAAGCGAAGAAATAATATAGAAATATGAATACTTATTTACTCACTGCAAATTAGGTTTCTACAGCCTAGTAGTATTAACAGATAGGATACCTACTACTTAATAGATAGAATATCACTTTATTCATTTCTAATTAGGCTTTCTATAACCTAGATAGTACGTTTATCCTACTTTAGCAAATGGCAAATAGATCAAGATTATTTTGACGATGAATAGCAGAGACGTTTTAATTCCTTGTTTTGGAACTGTCATTTTATTATCGCTGATGATAGCACACAATTAAATGTTACCACTGTAACAGAACAAAAATTTGATTGGAAAGTAGTTATCCCATTGCTAGGAGGCTTTATCGATTATTGAGGTAAGAGAAACTAATTTTAAAACTATAGAGAAAGAAATTGAGATGATACTCCGTAAAAATATATAGGGCAGTTCACGTGGTCCGCATGTAGCACCAACAGCATTAATTCCAAAATTCAACGAAAATGAAGATTTTGTGCTGACAATAGGAGATTAAATAAAGTGGCATTTGAAGGTGAGTATCTGTTACTAAGAGCAGATAATTCGTTAGATGTGTTATGAAAAGCTAAATGTTTTCCCACTTTAGAGTCTTTAAGTGAATATTGGCAGGTCCCAGCGGCTACAAATTCTGCAATCTCCAGCATTCATTGATTCTTTAACAGTGATTAAACGTATTAAATAGTACCAATTAAGGGCATAAAGTTATTAAATATGAAGATATGCTTATAGCACTGGCATTTGATTTCATTTTTTTCAAGTATAACAGAAAATCACAGTAAATAATGTTACGGTTAGAATAAAGAATACCCTTCAATTTTTCCTTTACAATTTCCACTGACTACCAGAATGGTACTTTGATTGGTCGTACATTATGGCAATCAAAGAGGGTCGCGATAGAAAAATAAGGGCATTAATTTTCTTATTAGTAATATTTTTATTGCAATTTTCGGTTACTTTAAAATCAAGAATTAACTAAGCCTGCTTATATTGGATTCTCAACATGTTGCTGTAAAGTGAAGTTATACTGGAATGGAATGGATCCTATTTCCTTCTCTTTTACAGCAAATAACCTCGATATTCCTGTAGTAGAATATATGCCTAAAAGTAGATCACAAGATCCTTTCTTTATTTGTGAAGATTTCAAACGATTCTCAATTAAATATCCTATAGAATCCATATTTTGATCTATTATCACGCGCAGTTTTCTCCATATCGCTAATTTTCAAGTTGCTTTTCAGCCTTCTTTACAGCTGTTCGGTGCACTCTTAGTTTTTTTTTTCTACGCATGTTGTTCCTGACTTCTATCTAACCTATAGATTCCCAAAGTATTAGTGATGAAATTAATTTCGATGAAGAGTTTATAAATCCCTCCATTTTGGTACTTAATTATGGCTGGATATTTACAATATTAATTTTATTTCTTTTTCTTCGTTATGCAGAATAGCAAACTTTATTAAAATATTAAATTAAGAGAATGGTTTATTTTAAGGATCATTAATTTCGAAATACGGTACCGCATTATTTAAAACAATATGTGTTAGTTTGTTAGGATTATCCCAGTAGTTGTTATTGACGAGTATTGAACTTTGGAATGTAAGCAATAGCTGAATTTGTACATGAAATTTCTAAATTTTATAGAAGTGTTAGTATTTCTACTTAAGCTAACTGATGGCATACCAAACTAGTGTAGTCCCACTGTTTACAGTATGGTACACTCCGGCACCTATTTGACGATACGAATATGCTTCCTTTACATTTGCATATTTAGCCGATGTTCGTATCATAACCTAAGGTTATTACGAGTCCAAGTATCTAAAATAACTATTACAGGTTTATGAGTAAATATTCTTCAAGTTTTACTGGTGTTTGGGTCCAGCCTTTACGTCCAATAGATACGTTTTACTATATCCTCTATATTTATTTTTGATCGATTTTGTTTTATGTTCTTGTATAATTGATTAGCTGTGCTTAAAATATAATAAAAATTTAAAATTTAAATATTTCCAGTAATATAATTTACCTATTGCCGAATTAGTATGCGAAATTAATTTATTGTATTACTCGCTTTCATTCATTCGTTCGATTTACTGTGGTGTTGAGTACTTTATAGTGTTGCAATATTAATAATTACTGTATATATTGTAGATAGTTATCCTTAGTGAAGCATCAAATCTGTTAATTATATTCATTTTCGAACTCCCGATATTTAGCTTCCAATTTTAACTCCCTGACTGCGGCAAATAATCATTTCTAATTGTAAACTATTTGAATTGATTTGAGTTCGTTACAGGCTGGACATGGAAATTCAATATTACTTTAAAGCAGTTCTAAGAGAGATTATTTCCTGTTTTAGTTTTCGGTAACCTTCGTGCGACCCATTTGTAGCAGCGTCATAAATAATGATGTCGGAAAGTAAGGTCAACAAAAATGACTTTAAAGAATGTAAACATAAAGTTGACGTTCTACCAGTAGCGATTAAAACGATGATGTTTGTCAAGTTTTATCAGATTGAATAATCATTGGTGAGCAAAGATCAATTTTAAATAAATAAATCTTGATCACAAATGTTCAACAACTAAACGTATATTGAACATAATGCATAGATTTTACAGTGATGATATTCAGACAGCATAAAGATTGATTAATCGTGATATGAATAATTTCGCAAAAATTTTAATAATATGCAAGTTTATTACTTTAAAATTCGATCCACTGGTAAATTAAAAAATGAATTAAGCTGTAATAAAGAATCAAATTAAATAGCTCATAAAGCCAGGTATCTTATGTAATTTAATTAATTTATTTTCTTTTAATTTGGATTATAATTTCAATGCTAGTGAATAAAATTTATGCTCTGAAGGATTGCAATGGACAGTAAGCTGTCTAAATGACTTGATCAAAAGCTTCCGAGAAGAAACCAAATCATAGCGCTTTGTTTATTTTGAAATGCTTGGCTGTATGGTTTCCACTATACACTTTACTTCCTCAAGGGCATAACATCCATCTGCAGATAAGTTACCATCATCCAGAGCTCCTGTGTACGTATATATTGGATGTTTCTTGCGTTTAAAATATGGGCGGTCGATGCACAAAACTTACTCATGGCCAACGAGTAAGGTCTCTTTATAATCAGGGTCAGGATAGTCTTAAATCGCGAAATGTATCGGAAGCTCTAAACCATTATGAACTAGCTTTAGAACAAATTCAATCATCCTCTCGGATTACTCCTGAGTTCAATAAACTTCAATACAACATTTATCTTGATATTTGCTACATTTACATAAATAATGGAGATTTTTCTAAAGCTAATGATTGCTGTCAAGCAGCAGAAAAGCTGGCTGATAAACCGAGCAAATTGTCTGAAATTACTTGTTGTTTGGAGATGATAAGCCAACGCAAAATTGCGCATAATGATTGGAATGGGGCATTAAATGATTACCAAAAATTGTTGGAAATAAAGCTAAATTCGTTAAAGTGCAATGATGAAGATGTCGCTAGCTTATACGATAATATTGGAAAGATCTATTGCGTTCTACGCAAATTTGATGAGTCACTTACTATGTATGATAAGCTACAGAAGATTTACTCAGTAAGATCTGCAGATGAAAATTTTGATGTAGCTAGAGCGCTTTTGTGTCAAAACATAGGGATTGTTTATTATCATCAAGTCAAATACGAAAAGTCGCTCTCTATGCATAAAGAATCGCTTCAGATTTACTTACGAAGACATGATGAAAATGATCTTAAAGTTGCTACTTTTTATAATAACATTGGAGCTGTCTACTGTAGTAAAGGAAAATACAATGATTCACTTTCTGCATACGGAAAATCGCTCGAAATTTATTTGAAAGTAAAAGGTGATAATAATCTCCACGTTGCCAAGCTTTATAACAATATGGGATTTGTCTATTACTATCAAGGCAAATACGTAGATTCGCATTCGATGTACGAAAAGTCCTTAAACATTTTTAAAGCAAGAGTTGGTCTAAATCATCTTTATGTCGCTACGCTCCATAATGACTTTGGAGCGCTCTATTACGATCAAGGCAAATATATTAAATCATATAATATGTACGATAAGGCTCTTAAAAGTCTTATGAAGCTACACGGTGATCATGAACTTGATATCGCAGTCTCATATCAAGGTCTAGCTTCTGTCTCTAGTGATCTAGGCAAATGGAATGAGTCCTTTTCTATGTGCGAGAAGTCACTTAACATTTACTTAGAAAAACTTAGTGATAAGCATCCTAACCTTGCCAAAGTGTATATTATCCTGGGAAACATCTATCATGATCACGGTAATTATCTCCAAGCTCTTAATATGTATCAAAAGTCACTTCAGATTTATAGGCTTGTTTATGATTACGATCATCCTAATATTGCCACAGTCTACAAGAAAATTGCGACTATTTATTACCAGCAAGAGAAATATGATAATGCATTCTTTGAACTTACGGCAGCACTCAAAATTTACCAGCAAATGCTTGATAAGGATCATCCTCTTATTGCTGATTTGCATAACGAAATAGGTAGAATCTACGCTAAACAAGGAAAATTCGATGATGCTATATCTGTATGTCGAAAGTCCCTCCAGATAATATTAAATCAAATGGGTAAAAAGCATAAATATGCTGCTAAAACATTCGAATATTTAGCAATCGCTTACTATACCACCTCCCAATATGACAAAGCCTTACCAAAGTATGAAAAAGCTGTTAGTATTTTATTTGATCTATTTGGAGAAAATCATCCTGAAATTTCTAGATTATACAAGGACATCGCTAATTGTTATGAACAACTCCATCAAAATGATAATGCAACTGTTTGGCGTAACAAATCAGATCTAATTAGAAGTCAAACACAATCTGATAATATAGTGGATGAATGTCTTAGCCACTCAGCACCATCACACGGTATGACAATATTTTATTTGTATTAGTCGATAAGAAATTCTATACATAATTAGTTTAGACTTATAGCAAAATCACTTTCTTCAACTAATGCTTATCTTATTTTCATCAGATAATATGTTTTAGTATTTGCTAAAAATACGGCTATCTATAACATTATACATTCTTTCACAGATAAATGTATAGTTTATAATATTATCCAAGTCATTTATGTGCTGATAACTAATGTTTACGTAAATTGACTATAAACTTACAGGTATTTTGAAAAGTTTAGGTTTAATTTTGTCTAGTAGAGACTAGTTAAATTATTGTTCCTCCTAACGATAGGAAATCGTCAGTAGTTAGGGTGATACTGAGAATAGATGTCGGAGATGATAAACTTGACATTTAATGGGCACTTCTGTAGTTGTCTATAATCGTTTAGCAAGTTATCATTACAACTTTAAATTTGTAACAAGACTAAGTCTATACGATATTAATTTTCGGTTTCATTTTTTGTGGCACAAGCAAAAGTAGATTAATTTGTTGTCGGTTTGATATCTTCTTAGTGCTAGAACTTTAGTAATTTTTGAGAAATTACGTAGAATGGAGCTAGTATTAATTTGATAGGTATACTGTACCATATAAAATATAAATTGTGAAATACATAGATTAAGAAAGCTTTCAACTTTTAAATGAGTAAGTGTTGTTTCGCTGCGATTATTACCCGATTTATAGAAAATGTAATGTCTGATCAAAATTACAAAGATAATTTGCCTAAAGTAGAATATACAGAAGAAGAAAAAAAGTATATTGAAAAATTGAATGGTTTGTATTAAGGAAAAATGTGTTATTTAATACGTTAATATTTCTCTAGAAATTTAAGGATTATCCCTTTCATAGATAGATGGAATCCATAATGACATGTTTATTTAGAGCTTTATAATTAGTACAGCAGTTTTAGACATTTGCTAACATACAATAACACGTAGGTAGTGTAATAATGAAATTGAAACTTTACTTTTTTCCTATAATCTACCCTATAGAAAACTGTTACTTTGTGATCGCATCTTCCATTGGAAAAGAATGGCAAAGATTAGCTAAGGAACTGGGGCTGCCAGACGATGAAATTAAATCTCTTCAACAACAAGGCCGAAACAAAGGCGGTTATTCGACTCTGGCTGTGGACATGTTAAAATATTGGCAGAAGAGAAATTTAGCATCGAATGATCTAACGATGTTAATAGCTGGTCTTGATCATTTAGGCCAAAATAGCTTAATCGATAGTCTAAAGAAGATACTGATTCAAAATCAGTCGCACCAGTTCTTATCCAAATATATCAAAACAATTTTACAAAGTAAAAGATTGAAAATTTAAATTTATCGTCACTTACTCTTTAGCGGTATTTACCAATAAATTTCAAAGTGCGAAAATCGAGTGATAGATTTAGCTACTAAAATGGCAAGAAAATATTATTAGTCTATTCATTTTTTAACATCAATCATTCATATTTATTTTACAGAGTCATTTGGCTAGATAATTTTACCGATTATAACCTGATGTAATACAATTGTTAACTATTCTTTAATCAGGAGGGATATATCTTTTTACAAGGTAATTATCCATATTAAGATAGAACTTAAAAATAAGCCTTTAATACCAATTTTAAAAATAGTATAGTAATTATGAACTGCTAAATAAGGATCAAAGAGAGGAATTTCCAGCTTAAATAAAACAGAGGCTTCTATCTGTAGCTCTTAAATTAAATTTTTGTCTATTTACGGTATTAAAGTCAAATACATATAATTAATAAGATAAATCCACGGAATACTGTTTCTTTAATGGATAATCCATCTATTTTCGTGTACAAATATATTTACTTTAAGAAGTGATTTTTCATTCAATTGATAATTTACAATTTATTAAATATCCATCATCGCAAGGTGACTTGGCATGTTAAACCGATTAAATAGTATAAAATATTAGCAATTTCACGTACTTTAGTGATTTTTGAGCCATGTTAGGCTCTATATATACTTTTGTACCGGTAATGCTTACAGCCTCCTAAATTGTTACTTTAGAGATTAACAGCTGACATGTTAGCAATCCTAAATTTAGAATTAGACAGATCAAAATTAGTAATTGCCAACTAGTTTAAATAGATTGTATCTATCATCTCGAAGAAAATTACGATCGAAGGTACAATTTCTAAGTTTAGCTGAAATATCTTAGTAATACAAACTGACTGGCACTTCAAATTATATAAGTGTAGAATGGAAAATACTCTCTTACGGCTTGCTGAAAGCTAGGGCTACACCAAGTTCGTAACAGTACTATAGCTATTAGGCATCGTTGACTAAATGCTAATAAAGTATACCATTAGAACTGCTAGGCATAACTTTTATTTCATGCCAGATATCACCAATCAGATTTATAATAACTTGTCAGATCTGTTCTAACAGCAAAGAAGCTAGTATACATAAGGCACTATATATCGTAGATTCTATGTATTCTTTTCTTTGTTATGATTTTCGATATCAGTTTTACAGATAATTTCATAATTTTCCTTACACTAGAATCATAAGAAATTATTTCTCCTTCTTTTTTAGTTTATGGTCTGTTTCAATATTGTCGAAGTACAAGGCTTACATTTTCCCAATCTGATGTACTAGCTTATAACATTTTATGGTATTCGAACTGTATTTTTGTCTACCTGGTTCCTTGGTCGACCTAAGCATATTAAATAGCCAATTAAGAATTTTGATAATCATTTCTTGGCAACCTTTCGATCCTACGGAGTGCAACGTCGCCTTTATCATGTAACTTTATGTTCCAGAGCTTGATGTTGCTCAAATTTATTGCAATTTGATACGCAAGATACTAAATTACATATAGAAATTTTTGAATGTGCAGTTAGTGAACATTGCACGTTTTATACGAAAAAGTAAAGTACACTACGAAACTACTTTAAAATATGGGCGATAATGTTCGGCTATACCGGTTGTATATACAAGTGTCATATAGATATTTCTATGTGAAGTAATAGGTTCCTACATTTTGTGAAGAAATGCCCGGCTACGCCAGGTTTACTTTGTCCAGTAATTTCATAAAGTAAGGTAAAATTATATAAGATTTCTGCAAGTTCATATTTGAGTCGTTTCTGGGATATGCTTCTATGGAAATTTGCAGCTATTAGAATGTGTTTTGGTTACTTTTGATTAAAACTGTAATACGGCTAATTCATTATTGCTCATGATCAAGGACATCGGGACTTTACGTCCCGACATATAGAATATCAATTGAGAGTATATAGGTTCCGAATCGACTTAGTTGGATGTTGGTACGAAATGGCCAAATAAAGGCGTTTTTCATGAGAAAGCGAGATAGAAAATTAGTTAGTTGAATCGGCTAGTAAAATAAAGATAGTGCTCTAGTTATCTTTCATCAGAAAGTACCGCATCAGTAAAATATTAGATCCATTCTTATCAATGCTATAGGGTTGTTTCCAGAGAAGAATTTAAGAAGCACACTATATAAATACATATGACTGATTTATTATTTTAAAAAAAATCGGTCACTTATAAATTAGTGCCAATATAATAGCCTTAATTTCAAAGTAATAATTGCTGTCAATTAGATTTAAATTACTTACCTACATTTATGATAGTTGCAGAATCTATAAAATGATATTATTATGCAAATATCTGCTAAGAACTGATATACCTCAAATGGTAACAGAAGGAATTGGCCATTCCTGAATCTACTGTACCTATGTATTATACAGTTGAAATGGTAAATTTTACGACTCTAATTATTGCTTGTAGGGGGACAGAAAATAAATCTTACGTCTTTGAGCTGATATTAAATGGTTAAAATTACTTTGCTCGTAACTAAATTCTACTTAATGGTCTTCAGTGACTAGTAATTATTATAAAATGGACTTCTATCCCGGTTACATCGTTACGTTTTCTTTTTCTTTTTCTTCTGTTAATGGATAGCCATTATTCCTTTTAGACCTCTTGAAATGCAGTAAAACACCGACAATAAAGACTACTACGATGGCAACAGCTGATGTCACGATTGCTGCAATCGCGCCTCCTAAAAATATCATAAAGGAACAAAATAAGTTTACTTCTAGCATTTTTAAGGCCACTATTTTGGCATTTAAAATCGGTGCTTATTAATAAATCATCTCACTTCCATATTACATATTAAATTTAGATGATGAAAATTTACCTGTTAGCCCTCCACTTCCAATCGCTTGCTTGGTAGATGTTCCTTGCATAGTTGACATGCCTTAATTAATTTAAAAGCCGAAAAGGAGTGAAGAAAATCGTATATTATACTTAGTTCAAAAGAAAATGTGTTATAACGCTCGATGCAGCTACATAAAATATCTTGCACTTAAGATTTCTCAATTAAGCGATAAATTATACCAGAGTATGGGCTGCTACTACCATGTCCTGATGTCGATGATGTTGTTGCAACTTCGTCTAAATTGAAATGTGATGGTAAATGGTAACTTAATTCTTGTTCACAATCAGCATGGTTAGCTGTTGTAAGTTTCGATACTGTTCATGCATCGATTATTTTAAAGCTATAGCCATCAATGGCTGATTGATAATAAATGAATTTTAAACTATTCACTGAGCTATTTAAAAAGCTTTTTTATTTACAATCTACGGTATTAAATTGCGAACTGGAAAGTGATTTAATAGCTTGTATTTCTAAATATTTAGACGTGTTAAACCTATTTATTCATAGGAATAAGTAATCTATTTTACCTTTATCAATGCTAGCTAACGGTGCATACATGATAATGCTGTAAAGGATTGACTAATATTGTATTTATAATGTCAGCTTTGCAATACCTCCACATACGGCAGTGTTAACCCTAATAACTTGATTATTGACCAGGTTGAATGATTGCAAAGGTATTGGGAATAATAAATTAAATTTTGGTACGATACCAGCCTGGAATATTATGTAAATAAATGAATACATTAAGAAAATAACATTTTAAAGGAAGGTGTGAATTTGCCTGTTCTAGCATTAAAATTTTAATACATGACGCAGATCTATACTTTAGTAACATCCTTGTAAATAAGATTTTTATCTAACTTGAAGTTGAACTGTTCTTAATGAAATTAATGACTTGGACAACTAATTTTCAGGCTTTTGATGTACATAGGTAGTATACTTACTAGGATAGGAGTAGAAAGTAAGAAAAACTGTAAGACTACTATAACATATTTATGAAATCAGGAAGTATGCAGCCAAACGGTTTACTTATCTTTGTCACTGCGCATTTTTATATTTCACTGCTAATTTTTAGATATGATAGTCTAAGAGACCAACAATATGTTACCATTTCTAGGGCTTAATGTATTGTAAACTGCAGCTATTTTAGTTATGAATAGTGTCATTTAGCTAGTAATACTGCGAATGAATCACCAATTTTATATTTTCTTAGGTGCTGGAACGAATTGACGGCAAATTATCTTATATTGGTTATTAATTAATTACGTACCGTAACCGTCACTTTTCCGGGAGAGCGAACCATATTAATTTTACCATACAATTTTACAGGAACAGTGATATTAGTGTTTGGCACGTTAAAGGTAAATTGAGTGAGATAAAACTCCTCTGCATGGCGTATCTTCTGACTGAATGTAATGTTTTCAGATGGATAATTTGCCTATAAAGGAATTAGCAAATGATAGATCAAATTATGAATCTTGGCTAGAAATAGTTTTAAGCCTTAATTCCAAGTAATAATTTTAGAATACACCATATATAAAAGAGATGGTTGTAGTATGATTAATACGAATAGCAGAGGATACTAAAACGACGTTTGCCTGTTGAAATAGCAAGAGAATGAGTGAATTGCTCATTAACAATTTTAATGGTTTACTGCCCGACGCTTTATAATAATTCAGCTAAGTTTATATGATTCAAAGATCTTTTTGATCGCTAAGATGCACTCACTTTTAAACTGTCCATAAAAGCAGGTTTTAAATTATTTTGTTATAGAATTCTTACTGTATAACTTTTCAAGCTCATATTTCTAAGTACGTCTAAGTAATCTATTAGCAATCACTGCTCTGGAATCAAATACTGGAAGAAAGGCATGACCTAATTAAAAATTATTTCTATAGAATAGTATCTTCTTTAAAATTTTTTATGAAATGCCGCCCAAAATTTAATTGCATTATCTACAACAATAATATCCGCCCTAAAATTATTTATCGACACTATTATTACATTGTATCACCTTCTAAAGTAGCTACATAGCTGCAGTACGCGCATTTAATTATTTTATCTAACAGTTCTAACTCATTCAGGTATTTTTTTGAAATAGTAATTATTACTGGAAGTTTCCTTGTTTGATGTAATATAAAATTGACGAGATGATAGCTTCTACGAAACTCTGAGCATATCTCTGAAGATCATAGCCATAAATGGATAAGAATACTATCACACAGAATCGCTGTTTCATACGAAATATTGATTACTAAAAGCCCACAATCGAGATATTATTCATTAAGCGAATACATTCGCGAGTTTTAGTACTTCATCTTTCACGCACTATTGAATTGGTTGGAAGACGCTCTCCTACTATCTTGACAGCATATTTGTAGAGCGATACATAATATGTAGTAGAGAAGGAACATGCTATCTTATCCTAACGATAATAATGGATTACTTACAGGATTACTAGCTGAAAAATATTTTACAATAATGTAAGATCAGTTAAAATATCGTTAGTAGCTTGATAAGGAATATGCCAATCTAAAAATCATCGAAAATCATCTACACAATTTACCGAAATGTAGGCCGTTATTGGCTTTGCGCAGTAACTCATATCGAAAGAGAATTGAATTTGTCTGCCATAAACTTTTCCGCTACAGTTAAATCCAGTACAATTAGAAAATTCATAGCATTTTAGAGTGTTAGGTTTTGTCGGATCAAGTCCTGGAATTGGTATTAAGGACAAGGGTATCCGATCAAAGTTTTGCTTTAGATTATTGATGAGATCTGAAAGGCTCTGGCATTCAGGATTATTAGTAGGCGCTATATAAAAGAAAACGAAACATGTTCATTTTAAATTTTATGTATAGAATTTCACTAAATTTAAGAAAAATTTCAAAAAAATGAATGCAATACTAAGAGGATATCGCAGCTTTGGGTAATTGTTGCACAGCGTATAGCTACTTTCGTTTCTTACTAATCTAAGCGATATAGTAAACTAAAAATCAGCTGCTGCGTGTTTGTCAATTTATCAGTATGTATTCATTAGTCACCGTTGAAATAAATCATCTATTATGGGGCACCTAATGAACTCTGCATACTATATATTTAAGTAAACTGCAACAGGTTACATATTCACTATAAAAATACTAGAATGAGAGAACCTCCTGTACTTCTTGCTTGAAGTACACAGTAGATTATTTAAAGATTTCAAGTGCTTTAATGTAATTAATGGCAGATGCGAATATCGAACCATTGTTTCTTAGAATCAGAAAAGAACTAATTGTTATTTCATGCTACGAGTAAATCAGTATTTCCAATGTAGCTATTATTAAATTTTAATTTTATCCATAATACTTTATTATAATATACTTAAATTATTTAAATTATTGCAAAAGACTTCAACATATCCAATGAACTCATTTTATTAAGCAAAGGTTTATAAATGGAAAAAAATTCGAGTATCGAAGAGCACGCACAAGTATTTAGACTGAGATAAAGTTGAAGAACGAATTAAAGTGCCGTCTGCTTCACGTAAGTCCAACAATAAAAATGATTAAAAAAGTAGTTAAAAATCCGCCATATTTGCCAAGATCTATAGATGCATTGCATTATTACCAGGTTTAAGGTAGAAAAATGTCGGAACTGAGTAAAACATGGAAACTGGACGGTGAAGTAGATCGCTTCATAAGTTAAAGTTTACACCATCTGGCATTGGAACTGCATCATTTTCAAATTGTTAATTGTAAAATAAGAAAGTGGAAAACATATAGTGGATGATAGAGATGGGCTATTACTGCTAGGGTTCATTGAAAGAGTACTAGAATTTAATGTTAGGATACGTGATAAAGGATTTATGTTTACAATAATCCGTTATAATCATAATTACCCTGTAGCATGATATAACAGGAGAAATTAGGAATCTCGTTTTGATTAATATCATGATAGGTTTGTTGTACTTTAGTTATGTATTGGCAAATTAACTTCATAAATGAAGTATTCCGATTAGTTCTCCTAGAAATACGACTTCGAATCAGTATGAACTAAATTGATTTTATTTCTATCTTAAAACTTTCTTCCAAGCATAAAATTCTGACGACAATTCTAACTGACTACCTTTCTTAGCCTAATAACTAACTTCGGTAGCTGTAGATGTGTAGAGATTTATATAATTTTCTATAGCTTATGCCAACCAGAGTTAAGTTCATTCGATTCGGTAAGCAAAACATAAAAACTTAGACGGAATTAACTTGCTACTCTTATGCGTCTGTGCAAGCGCTCTAACATTCATCAACACTGCATTTGAAGTAAAAATCAAGTCTAATTTGCCTTGAAGATTATGTGCAGTAATTTTATTAGTTTTATCTGCAAGAACATGATTTCTCACTCTATAACTCTGTAATGTAACTTAGTATTGTGATTGTAGACTGTTAGCCATGTGTAGTATAATGTACGGTAGATATTTATCCTAAGAGATATTTGGTAGCTGTAACTATAGACTGTAGTGGTAGAGACTCTATGCTAGAGTACAGATGACCATATACAGTAAGCTGTTGAGTTACTAATATGGCTATAGGTAGAAATAGAACTGTAAATCATATATTAGGATATGGTTAATTCATTGTACTTTGGCTGGTGTGAATAATGTCTACGTAAGTACTGTAGTCGTATCCATATTGGATTAATGATGGTCCGCAGTAGAATAGTCTTACTAAGAATAATTTAACTATGTGTAAAATAAGGTAAAAGGTTGCCATGCGGATTGTAGCTGCGAATGCTACGAAAAGTATAAAAGCATGCAACTTTAGATTATTCTGTTAGTTCGTTGTAGAAGTCTTTAGAAGTAGTATTCGGCTAGAGTAGAGCTGTGTAGTTAATCTTTGTATAAGATTCAATAAAGCCCTTATTTTTCTAAAATTTGGAATTTCGTGATTGGTATATATCACAAACTCTAATTTAGCGGCAGCGGAGCCAGCCGTAACAGAATAGATTTACATTCGATTATAATAATAATCACTCGTTATTACAATTGTACCAGCACGTACGAGGCATCATAAATATTTTGATTATGGACTTTAACGGCTGTTCTTAAAATATGATAAAATGGTCATTGCTACGATACTACAGCTATTAGTGTTTGACTTTATTTACTACTGAAACATATTAGAATGTGTCCATGTACAAATAATTTACACTCGTCTTATGAACTTTCGTAGATCAAGTACATAATATAAACTCTATTACATAGTTTTGAAAATTTTCTTGGATTTCAGGATTTTTCTATTGTAATACTTCATACTTTTTTGAGGAGCGGAAGTAATTAAGTGGAGTATACTTAAGCGTTCTGCTATTCTACTATACAACTTATTTAATTGTTAAAAGAAAAAATATTCATTCTAGAGTATGTCACAGTTATAGTCCACGAAATCTTAGCTATATAATATTATACTATTAAGAATCTATTTCATCGACGACTGTACACCATAAATACTATCTGCAATCCTATTCTAAATGAATAAAATTAGACTAATAGAGTACTATAGAATGGCACTTTATCCAACTATGGCACGTAATAGTAATTTTCTTAGATAATTTAGCCCATTTAAGCAGGTAAAATAAAATAGTAATATTACACTACATTAAATGTTTTATTTCTCAACAAATATGGTGCATCTCAAACAATTTTTAATTAAAAAGAACAGACCAAAAGAAGATGACAATTATCAGACGTGTACGAAAGCTTTCTTTTTATATCCACTTAAATCTCTTTCAAATTTAAACGACTATTCAGAAGATTATAATAAAATCAAAGTTGAAGTTTGTGAACACTGTAGTGATATGTACTTACTTGCACATTGTCCAGATGATACATAAAACGCACAAAGTATGAAAATTAGCGCGTATAACTTCATCTTGTCTTAAATAGATTACCCAAACGAATATTTTGTCAGCAAGTGATATATAGTAGAAAAATATGTTTCACCGCGTCCAGCTGATGATTGTGAATCGGCTGTGGTTATAGATGGTGATCGGCTCTGTCTGTGTTCAAATCTCACTACGAGTGATGATTTTATACTATTGGCTATGTAGGTCTCCTATGTCGGTAAAAAGGATAAGATCGCAGCTCGTGTTTTCTGTGTCTTGAAAAGGGTAAAATTTATGACGTCAAAGTTATCATAGGAATGTCAATCTTAAATCGCCAAAGCTATTTCCTGTATTAACCTTGCAGTACGCATTTGTATTAATAAAAGCCCTGTAAATCAACCATTTGTCAGTTATTTTAGCCGTTTCATAACTATAAATGAATTTTATATTCTAGGTCGTTTAATGTTGACATTGGTGAGTTCATTAATATTAAAATTTCTTTTGAAATTCTATTTTTGATCTATTTGTTTTGTAATACAGTTAAGAGGAAAATTTTCACAACACTTTCATTAAATGCCATTATTTCTTGGCTAAGCTGATAAGCTACGTCACTTTTCATAGGCCTTACTTACCTACAGATGATATTTTGCGAAATAATCACCTCTCCAATACACTCGAAATTAGTCTAGAGACTAGTCATTCGAGTTGGGAGCAAAAATGTGCACTATGTTATGTTCCATTCATAATTAAATCTTAAACTAAATATCTAATCAAGAATGAGTCTACTTGCGATTAGTAACTATAACCTTAAATTGATAATCGTACTTGATTATTTATAGTCTGCGGTGATACTCAAGTGAAACCAAATTTTGTTTATTTCCTACAGCATATAGTAGACGTAAATTACATTAATTGCTAGTGCCACCGCTGTCATATACCTGAATCATTTATTTAATGTATTAGCAAGCGTTTGCACTAAAATTACTTATGCATCAAATACGGATTAATATGCAAACTGATCATGATTAGTGTAGATTTATAAAGAATTAAGCTCAATATTTGAGTAATGGGCAGTCGTATATCGAAAACTCCCAACTGTAAAAACAATAAATCGACTTAAAGTTAAAAGTTATGTTTCATTGGATGACTATATTTACATTTCGATCTTTTCATTATTAAATTGAATTAATAAGGTTGCTGTTTAGTTTTATTGCAAGTTCTTACTCAAATTATTTCACTTACAGCTATCTAATATGGTTTCTGATTCTAGATTAAGTGATTTGCATAAAATTTTAGGTTATTGTACCCTTGCTAATGAACGGATAGTACGTAGTGGTAATCTTAATAACGTTGATGTCGGAATTCTCTTACATAGTGAATTACGTTACACAAGTAATCGCTTAATTAATCGAATGCGATAGTGTTAGAATAGGTAAATTTACGAGTAGAACTGTAGTGTAAGTGGTAGTAACACTGATTAATATTGCCTGTGGTGTGCAGTAGAAATTAGAGTTATTAGAATAGCTTAGAGTAAACCCGATATCTCATTTCCCTGAATTAAAATTAATCCTTGTAGCTTGCCGTCGTGTTTCATGGTGTATTATAAGAATGAGCAATCTGGACATGATAATCTTTCAGCATTGCTAAGCGAATACTCGAATATCTTTCAAATATCAATAACGTTACGTCATCTTTATACACTTTGTGCTAGATGCTTTCGATAGCAGTATCAGAAGTAGCTACTTCCAAATAATTATCCCCCAGTAATTTTGATCTAAGAAATGAAACATTTTGGCGCATACATATAACTGCATCACATTTAGGCTGATCTCGATAGATAGCGCTAACATCATTGTATATGGTTGCAACGTTGAACTGATGGTTATTAACAGTCTTAATCTAAATGTTACGGCATCTGGGAAACGTGAATAAGGCCTCTTCGCATCTAAATTGAAAACGGTAAACTTTCGCTAAATAGCTATACAAATCACCCTATTGCTTTATTCTTTTATAAAAATTTTAAAATTTATGATGATTTTAAGCTTAAATTTTCGTTACGTGAGTGAATATCATCTTATTTTGATTAGTAACACTATGCATTTCCGATCTGAAGGTAAAAATTTGCAGTACACAAACTAATTATAATTATCGGCACCTACCTTTACCATGCGATGAATTTCAGATCTCTCATACATCACCATAGCTTTGTTGTTTGTGGATTAGCAATAATGCACCATTACAATTCTTTTTTTGGGTTTTAGGATAGTACTACGCTTGTATTGTAAACGAGTAAAGCTTAAATATAATAAGAATTCTATTACTATACTATTACTATTATTACTATTACTAGTAAAGTTCCCGTTCATATGAACGGGTATATATTCTACATAAAGCAAAACATTGAAAGAAAATTCACAGCCAGATTATTTCTTACTACTTTATATATGCTTCTTCTAGGAGCTACACTGCTAGATCAAGTCCGTAGAATTAATACATTATTCATATAAACTATTTATGTTAAGAATCATCTGAAACATATGTATTGCACATGTGCATTCTGTTCGTGTGTATAGTGATGAGATATTAAGGGGTATATTTTTGATCAACAGCTTAATAATATTATTACTTTATATCCTTGAACATATGAGCCGGTTCTAATACGCTTTATTACGTAGTGTTGAAACATTAGATAATAGAGTAACGTGAAATTTATTATGAAGCGAATTCTCGTAAACTTTAAATTTCGACATCCAATATTTTTAAGATTGCAATACGAAGATTGAATTTTATAGCATTTCTTAGCATTAACTTCACTCCAAATTCTAAATATTATTGTTAGAATATAAGATTATTATTATCTTTGACATCATCACATCACTGAGTACATTTATTCCAAATGAAAGTATTACTTTTAAGAGAATAACAAGTGCCAAATTTTATCGCTATACAGTATCAGATTTTATGCCATCGCCATATAAATTTCCAGTATTTGTAATTATGATTGGTAGATCCTATCTCTAATCGGATATTGATATATAAGCATAAAAGTGTAATTGAGATTTACAGTTAGTCATTCATATTTATTGTAATTTATGCACCAATGATTGTTCTTTTAATTTGGTGCCCATCGATATTATCAATAATTTTATTTATACTGCTGATAATTAATTTATATTCTGTTTTATAGAACTAATTGTTAGAATATTAAATCGTACTGATAATTTTAAAGTGGGCTTCTCCGCTGAGTTAAGCAGATCCCTAGCCTTGTAGCTAGTAAATTAGACGACAGTATTGATAATTTAGAATAAATGGTGTTCTTCCCATAATTAAATAGCGTAGTTCGCGTGTACTTTTTTACGTTTACGTTAACTTATCAGAATCCCGCTCTTACATACGGATTAAAATCTCGTTTGGTAAGAAAATATAATTACATGAGAATTTCTCTTCGATTACTATTATTACTGTACCGCTACGTTGGTACTAATATCTAGAAATAATCTAGAGTAGAGTTATTAGGCAATCTATTGTACTATCAAGGAACTGCCCTTCCTGTGAGGGTATCTTGCTAACTACGGTAAAACTGTTAAGACACAATATTGATTGAAGGTTCGACATACTGTAAACTGAATCAATATAACAGTTAATCAAGATGGCGACAGATCAGTCATGCTAAGGAAAGTAGGCATAATTCAACGTATGATTGCTTCTAAATATTGCTTTTGCTATCCTGCAACGTACTATTGCTTTAAGATACCGTGCGACGTCTACAAGGGTCATTAGCAGCTACGAGAGTAGAAACGGCAGAGATAAAGTTATCGCAGTAATGTAAAACCAGCATGTTATGAACAATTTTGTGCTAAAGGCAACTGAATAATGTAGTAAGCTCATTTCGGTCACATATCATCGAGTTCTAAAGATAATTTTATTCCATAACGACGTCATAGGGTTAATCATCCTTAACGGTTACTGGATATAATATTAGTCCAAAGCCCAACTAATAAAAACAAGTCATTTACTAAATTACATACTCACTACAAATATCATAATAAGCATAAGTGCATTGTTTCGTTTTTATATAAGATTATTTGATAACAAGATACAGATGGCTGTTGTACATATAATCATAAACCTTTCTAAGTATAAGCACGATATACCAGTAAAATTTTTTTGAAAGAGATATGCCAATTTAATTAAGAATACATTGTAAACACAACAAGGCATTAAATGATACCTTTTATAATGAATATACTTTACTATTTTTCTTGAACAACATCACATTACGATAATAGAAAGGACTACGTACGGTACTTAAAGTAGAACTACAACTAATAATGTGTTATAATTCAGGGTATACTTCAGTGCTCAAAGTGATTCATTTATAGTTCATCACGTGGTTTATCTTCTTTTGCTTCATCGCCTGCATCTATATCGCCTTCATCGTCTTGGAGTTCTTCTGTTACACCTTCCGATTTACCCATCCCTTTACCACCAGAAGTAACAAAGTTCGCCAAAGCATCTAATCCACGTTCACCACTATATTGGATTTGTTCCTAGAAAATGTATGGATGAGAATAAGACCATCTCGATATAGCTTACGAATATACGATTTGACAATACTGCACAATCATACAATCTCCAATATGCCAAAAGTTAATTAAACTACCTTATTTTCTCCAGCAGGGAAGTATATTAAAGTTGGGAAACTACGAATAGCGACATCTTCCACTTCATTGGCAGTCGAATCTATTTTAGCTATGACTACGTTTTTGTCATCCTGGAATTTTTCTCCTAATTTGTCCCAAATTGGAGCTAATTCCTTACAATGTCCACACCAAGGAGCATCTAGATTTTAAGCAATCATTGCAGCAATTACAGACGCAAAATTAGTGCTCATTAAATACACTTTTGGTACTACAGCAAAATATCATTTGTTGGAGAGTACAATTACAGCATTAAACTTACAAAATTCAACAAAGACTGCTTTTTTGGGATCTTTGGCTACAGCATCGAAATTTTTACCAACCAAAACTTTTACTGGTTTTGCATCCCAATCTTCGGGCACATCTTCCGACTTGAAGTGTTGCTAATTTAATAAACATAAACGTCACTAGCGTCGGATATCAATATGCAGTTTAGGCACCATTTACTATACAAGACTCATAATCGCGATGCTTACCTTGACTTTCCCGTCAACAAAGTCTCCAACAAACTTTTTAAGGTTCTCTTCGTTAAATTCTTCAAAATTTGGTCTAAATTTTTTCATATCACTTTCTTCCATTTTGATAATTCTAACATTAGTTTTCTGTAAATTAAAAGAAGTTAAATTATGCATAACTACGAACGAACGTTATAAACGTGATAATAAATTTCAAGATTATGATTCGTACATCCTCTTTCTTGATATCGAAAAATTCTGCAAGACGTTCATTTTGCTCATCGTCCATGTCCACGTAAATGAATAACATCTGCAGGATTAGATAAGAGACAATTACGTAAAAAATAACGAAATAAAATATGGAAGGTAATACTAATCATGAAAGTATACGTAAGAATATAAGTACCTCCATCCTAAATTCTGTAGCAACTTTTTTCAGGGCAGCTACACCTTTATTGAAGTTTTCCTCATCTTTTTTACCAATAAATAGAAGCAAATGAGTCTTGACGTCACTACCGAAAATCTTGGGTGCATTCTATATAAACAACAGAAAAGATAATATATAAAGACCTGCTCATAAGCATTTTTATTCAATGATTTGTAAAGGACGTTTTAATGCATTAAAAATTACTTCTTGAGTAAATTCGTTGATTAAAGGTAAGGCAAAAATACGAGCAAACTTAAGAATATTCTCCTTTGTCATCCAGCCTTTAAATTCTTCAGCATCGCTATCCTAAAATGTTCCAAATAAAGAATGTAATTTATCTGTTGAATATTGTATACCTAATCAATATTGCCAGATCGTTGATAACTAATTCTATAGTAAGACAGCATTACTACGTACTTTTTTGTACATAATTATGTTTTCCATTTCGATCTTTAGTCCAGCTGCAACTTCAGGGTTGTTAACGAGGGCCCAGGTAACAGCATCCACTTCTTCTGCTGCTGCAATAAAGTCTTTGGGCGTAGCTTGATCCAAATCACGAAATAAACCAAGTACCACGACGTCATTCTCATTTTTTAGCTTTTCGAGTTGTTCAGAACTTTCAACAGAAACATAAATAGGTCCAGTCTTTTTCTTTAACCAGCGAACAATACCGTCAGCATCACGATTTCCTTTTAGTAAATTTCAAAATTTAATAACACCATAGAAATAGTAAAAACAGGATTTTTAAATTATTTATTGATTACATTCACTGGAGGAAAGTTATGTCGAGAATATTATTGTACGGCGTACTGTATTATGCTAGAATAACATTGTGCATCATTTGTGTAATGCCGGAAATTGCTTTCTCCCTGGTAAAAGCCCCATAGTAATTATTAGCCTTAACCGATCATTTCTATTTATTGCTGGGGTCCAGTAAATAGTCTACGTATGTTGTTAACGAAACTAAAAAAAAATCAATCTAAACATATTAATATCCATCCATGTTCACGTATGAGCTGATCAATAACGATCTGTCGGTTCTATTTCAGTACAATTTCGTTGTCAAAGCACTTCATATAATAGGAAGGTTATAGTTGCTTCATTCAATCTATCGTATTACGTCGCCACTGTTCACGTACAATTAATTATTATTGAATTGTAACTTATAATAAATGTTTACAAGTGAAAACTGCGCAATGAAATGTCGTTATTCTCATACGGGAGTGGGTAACATTTCTCAATTTGGTTAAAATGATAAAATAAATAGAAATTTCGATAAATGAACTGCAGTATGTCATTAACGTAGCATAACTTAGTAGTAACGTCAAGGACAGAATACGTACAGTATAAGGTCTATCTGTGCTTAAAGAGCGTTGGTTGTAAACTCGTGCTGAACAATAGAATTTTCATTTATTCAGCTTATTATAATCATTTATACAGATGGCGATTAAATAGTAATCTACTGTACGTATACCAAAATAGCACTTTGCATTGCTATTGTATTCCATTGGACAATAATGAACCAAAGCAAGTGAGTGCAGCTATTTACTACACTGACTGGAGATGGTCCGAATGGTATGAAACAAAACGATCATCAAGTATTGTTGATTAGCTTTCGAATGTAAATGAAGTATTTATCACTATAAAATAAGGTGCCTGCTTCATGAGTAAACCTTCATTTTTTGATGATTACAGAACGTATTATCTATTCATAGAATTTATTTATGCAAATGTTATCGATTACAGATTTGGAGTAAAACAGTTGCATAAGAACAAAAACTGGTGTAAATCCTGTCCATAGTAAGATCGATCTCAATTTCCTTGTAGGATGACATGATATTATCCTAAGACTGAAATCAACTATGAGTCTATAAGATTTTATTGGTAGATTTTATGCTTCGTTTCGTAGCTGGGAAAGCAGGGTACGCTGGCGTACAAATATATAATTACAATAAAACGAATAAATAACACCGTCGCGATTGCGAAGCAGTGTTGTTTAGTGTAATAATCATCTTACCATTGTACTTAATTTTCTTTCCATCCTTGAAAAAAAATAAGGTAGGATAACCTTGTACTTCATGTTGTTGTGCTAATGAGCTCTCGACGGTAGCGTCAACTTTAGCTAGCCTAATTTCTGACTTTTCCTCCATCAAGACATCAGCAGCCTTGGCATATTCTGGTGCTAAATTTTTGCAATGTCCACACCAAGGTGCATCTGCATCCCGTTACATTATTATCCATATCAGTAGCACAGGTGGTCCATCAACAATGTATCAAAGGATATGAAACAAATAAAATATTCACCATTCAATCTATGAAGTTGAAAGGCATCAATTTACATGTATTATACTGTTCATAAATAATCACAGTAATCATTTCATGATAGTGTCACTTTATATAAGTCGCAACGTAACATTCTTACTCGTAGTCTAAAAGAAGTGCCTATGGCATTGCACACGTGGTACTGCTATTCCAAAATGGCTGTGATAAAATTAGCATAATGTGTGGTTAAATTTTCCCCAAATGTATAAGTTGCTTTACAATGCACCTACAAATGGGGATTGATGCCTTTTCTATCACGGCAACGCTATTTAAGTATTTTGTTACCATCAGCAACTTCATGATTCCCCTTTTTACCCTTATGTCGTGGGTAACCACAAAGCAATTCAATGCTACAGAGCTGATGAAACAAAAGCCTACGCGATTACTCAATTTTCGATACTGCCATACATGTTTGCAATAATCATACAGTATAGTAAATAACTATCAAAAATGAATTCAGAGTATTGGTGTCGCTCGCTTTAGAGTACACCGATCTCCAATGTAAGATGCAATTCATCGATCCAAGAAAGAAGGTACGACCTTCTATAACTTTATGCTATGATGAATGAATGACTCATTATCTCCTACTATTACAGAAATGATTATGATATCGTCCATGTTGATTGAACGATAAAAGTGAAGTAGCTCGACGATTATCCTTTCAGTCTGTTAGGCAAAATAACTTCTTAAGTAATTGGTTGTTTCTCAAGGACGAGATTACAATACATTGTCCTCAATAACACCTTAATAAGATCAAATAATTCAGTCATCAATGGTTATTGTCGGTCGCTGTTTCGTCCATTGCATCGTCATCCGCTAATTAACTATTTATTAAGTGAAATAATCATTTACGGTAATGATACCATCTCTGTCTATATAGACGCGTAAGAAAGTAGATAGCTTACCATGGGTATCACTACTTTAACAATAAGATGGCACCTATTACAGGATCATCGTATTTCAATACCAAGCTATTTGCTTGTTATTACCATGCCAATCAAGTAGTACATATCATGAGCCGCCATAGATTCGATTGTACCGGAAAGTTGACTAAGGTAGTTTCATATTCAAGTCGCTACGTCCTAGTAGCCGATAGTAGACTTATCGACACTCGTTCACTTGACAGTCGGACTCGACGACGATCCTACTGTAAATATACACACGCTGACGCAAGACTCTCTGCGACACTGTGTACCAACAACGGAATACACCATAATAAGGAAGTTAAAAAAAAAATGGACCATGAATAGCATAGGGTAATCAGGAGCTCTTTTATCGAACTCGATTCCACTTGTGCTATCGTCACGACAAGTTGTTGTCACTTATGGAAAAGGAAGCAGAATGAATAAAAAAAGAAAGTGTAAACTGCCTAAAGAGGGAGCAGAGCTATTCACTATTCTCCAAATCTTTTACAAATGAAGAAATGGAAAAATACAAAAGCGCATGGTATCCCCTTAGCCCTACTGCAATCCTATTCCATTTACATGGCTACAACAATGTCAAAGAAAACATGACTGACTTACAAAATTCAACTAATAAATATTTATGCTGGTCCAATGTTTCTTTGAAATTGTCGGTGGTGACGACGAGGACATTTTTATCTGCCACATCTTCAGCCATGGCCAATGAAAGGCACATCAATGAGAAAAGAATGAGTGTAGTCTTCATTTTTAATCGGTCAACTCTTGCCACTTTACCTTTCTATACCTAGAACTAGTCAAAGAGAAATAAGATACAGCATCAACTATTGGGTTCTTTTCCTATGTTGCCATCCAAACTTGCTTGCAACGACATTAACTTACCTTTCAAGTCTTAATGTCGCAATGATTGGATAGGACGTTAAGACACTTCCAAGTCGTGCAACTGTTGAGGATGGACTCGACGTAGTGCGGAAAATATGAACTGGTAGGGGCTATGGAACCCTGCGCTTGCGCATTGTAAAAACTCGTGGAAGGATTTGATTGGTAGACAGATTGACGATTGGGGGTGGAGTGTTGTGTTGAAAAACAGACACAGCAAGCGATACTGTGGCAACATCTCCATTTGCATCATGACACAGCACCCGGAAAATGGACTGTTGACGAAACGAGAACAATAACATCCGTACCAGTACAGTGTACAGTACAGAACTGGTACAGTGGACAGCAAGTTGGTACAGTAGTGTACTGTACACTGTACACTGTACAGTAGTCCATGAAGTTGGTTGGAAAATTCAAGTAGTGCTGTTTACCTCCTATTTTCCATACTAGTCACCAGTGCAATATTGTGATCAGTTACTTTATTAATGTCATTGTGAATCAACACTAAGATTCTAGGCAGTCCATGCAGTCCTGTGTAGCATGGATTACTCCAAAAAAGCCTTTTTGGACTAGTCCACGCATGTACTGTATGCAGTTGTCAGAAAGGCAAGGAAACGTACAGTACAGAACTGTCACTGTACTGTACAGTGTACAGTGTACAGTACCGTACAGTAGCAGTACTGTACACTGTACAGTACAGAACTGGGACAGTGGACAGCAAGTTGGTTCAGCACATTATAGTAGTTAATGAAGTTGGTTGGAAAATTCAAGTAGTGCTGTTTACCTCTTATTTTCCATACTAGTCACCAGTGCAATATTGTGGTCAGTTAGTTTATTGATGTCATTGCGAATCAACACTAAGATTCTAGGCAGTCCATGCAGTCCTGTGTAGCATGGATTACTAGCCTTTTTGGAGCAGTCCGCGCATGTGCTGTATGCAGTTAGTCAGAAAGGCTAGGAAACGTACAGGACTGACACTGTACAGTGTACAGTGTACAGTACTGTACACTATGGCTACAGTACAGTACTGTACACATCAGGCGGAGACTTGCAGGCGCTGCCGAAAAATGCTCAGTGTAATGCTAATGTGCCAGCTGGTGACATGGCTATACTACTCACGATACTGAGTGGAAATTGCGGAATCAGACGCGGTGACGTCGAACCCCCTATGCTGCACTTCGACTTGATCGCAAGTTGATTAATTGCTTTTGGAAAATAGGAGAACTGCTAGTAAATAGTATGCTGACTATCATGCTGTACTCGATACTACTTGAAATGAATGGATGAAAGCATTTTTAGACCCTATTACAGTCAATCATAATTCCGATATCATCATGGTCGTTGCTGCGTTAGGTAGTCGTCTTGACAAACTTAGCAGCTAACTGTTGTCATCAACGACCACAGCAGTTTTTCATCCTTGAAGGGAACCCCCCTTGATTGCTTACCATGGAAAGACAATTTCGGACCTCTAAAAGTAATATTGTTGCAGATCATTCAATAGAGGTGTTATGGGACTAGTATAAACTGACACGCAACAACGTTTTCCAGAAGTAGTGCAGTGCAGTCAGTATTCAATAAAACTGTTGCAAAATGGTATATCCCCATAACAAGTCTAGAGTCAAAGTGATGGCTGTCTTCTTTCGATTAATGTACAGTAAACCATAGTAAGAATTTCGCCTTTTACTGACAATCCATGCTACTTCAACTTGAGATACGTCGTATTATCGTACACGATGATCGTAGTAGTCATATATTGGAGAAATGAGAGTGATACTGATGGTAGAGAGTGTTGAAACAGCTCAAGGAGGCTGATCAAGATATCTCAATCCATACCGACTATGGCTGCTATCACGACCAATACCATCAGAAGAGAGTATGGACACAAAAATAGCCAAACAACTGGAGACTTTATTAATTACTATTAGTAATCACTCTTTCATAGCAGTTGAATCATTCTTACACCATTCACTTATCCCTGACGGCACTTTATTACTATCAAAATTCTTCTAATTGAATTAAATCATGGAAATTCAATTGAATACAGAAACCGGGTAATTGAACATCTGCTTTGGAAAAATTGGAAAGCCTAACCGAAAAGGATATAAAATGTAGACGTGCAATGTATTTCAACATCATTATGGATAAATTTTACTGCTTGGATTTTGTACTTTCTGTCTATGATTACCATTGCAGATGCTATAATTCCAAGTGCTATCATTAGTGTTATTTAAAAAATTGAAATAATAGAATTATAGAATCACATGAATACGTCATCGGGACATATACAGTAATTAATAAATTGCTTTATATAGTTGTTCATATCAAATAGATTGTCTGTCATTTTGTATAAAGCAGCTTTTACAGCTCTGCTGACGGAGCATCCTTGACGATCCAGAGTCGATTAGTAAGGGTAAGCTTGTTGCTATATGACTGCATTGGTACTTATTTAGTTTTTACCAACCAACTATACCGTAGTTCAATATACTTTCAATGAAGCGATTGTTTATGGAAATCCTGCTAATTAATTATACTTTAATTAAGTGGCAGCAGTTTAGTTAGCATAGGGATGGAATATCAATTTTTAAGCTTAAATTACCCCATTCAAGTTTTGCTTTAGTGAATCATTTCAGAACTGTTACAATTCATCAATTGCGTGAATCGACTAAAAGTAAATAAAAGTCTTTGTTGCAACATTTTGCACGAGCTACTTTCACAACATCTAGAACTTCCTATGATGATATTAAAGTCGTATTGGTATCTGTAGATATAATAAAGTAAATTACAATAGGTAAAGTTGTCCTAATGGCCTTAGGGATTGTCTATGAGAGCTTATAGGGAATAAATAGTAGTCGCTACGGGTAGTTCTAGGAATTCGTATTAACGGCTATAGAGTACACGGGTCTATTCGACATGTTTGGTTGAACAATTCAGCATTGAGTCAAAATTCAATTGCCTTGCCGAAAGTGAACAAATACAAAATAATTACTTCGATGTTACAAATACTTTACTTATTTCCAAGTTTGATCATGTCTTCCATGTTTATTGAAAGAAAGTAGAGTCTCATTTATTCGAGAAATGCTTATGTCCATCTCGCAATGACAGTTTAATATTTTAAATTTTTATCGATGTATGTACAGCATAGCCAATTAGCCATTCAAAATAGTGGATTACGTTCTTGACAACCACAATGCATAAATGCAACCTTACTAAAAATGCTTACGTCCATAAGATATTCTATCCAATTTGGTTAAGAATCAATATATTTTAAGGCCGTGATATATGCCCTGTGAGTGTGAGAATACTGAGAAAATGGATGAAACATGAACGTTATTCATATCGTTTATTTGGACAGTTTTTATTCGCCAATTGCGCAATTCGCAATACAATAACCGTTAAATTCGTAAATTGTACAATTAATTAGTAGCCGTATATCTGTATACTTAAGTCTAAATTGAACCCAGATAGAATAATTAATGAGTGTCCAAGTTATTAGTTGTGATAACTTTACTGAACAGACAAAAGAATTTATTCAGTGATAATTAAAGATGTCATACTGATGTTCGTAAATACATTCAAAAAGCAACGCCTAGGGTGAAATCTTTATGAATACCACAAACATGCACTGTATTCGGATTTATTATAATTTAAGGAATGCAAACATTACGGAATTTCCTACGCCTAGAGCTAGATGGTAACGGTTTATTTCTAATACGAGTATACTGAACGCTCTAAATTGTTAAGATACTACTATGCATAGTGCTACTTTAAATTAAGACAATAATATAGCATTCGTATTGATCATCATATATAAAATATCCCATCGTAGAAATGAAGTAAGCATCAATCAACCTGTCATAAACACAACGAGTTCCTTAGTCTGTATGCACGTTATAACTTTCTGACATTTACAACAGTTTGTCATAGCAAATAAGTAAGCATTAGTCGATCTACTAGTCCATGGTAGTACAGTAGTGTCTTTCAGGTACAGAATTTATTATTAAGTTTTACAAAAGTATAGAGGGTCTAAAATCACATTCAATCTTGGCAGTTTCAATATCAAGCAAACTTATGCTATAAAATCTTCAATAGCCTATTGCAATAATTATCCTTAATGAGACTATTTATACTTTAGAGCACTAATAGGACGATATTGATAGCGTAATTTTATATGAAATAAATTCGTAACAATCTGATACACCGTACCTCATTTCTGAACTATCGTAGTAGAAGAATTCCAATTGGCCAACCAAGACGTACAACAATTAATCAACGCCGAAAATGTCGTATGGGATTAAATTATAGGATAAAATTGTCTTATCTACTAGTCCATAGTAGTACTGTATTTCGGCTACAGAATTTATCATTAAGTTTTACAAAAGTATGGAGGGCCTAAAATTGCACTAAATATATATATATATATAGCGGTTTCAATACCAAGCAAATTTATGCCATAAAAATCTTCTATAGTCTATCGCAACAATTATCCTTCATTAGACAATCTGTACGTAAAAGCAACAATATGACGAAATTGATAGCGTAATATTATATGAAATAAATTCGTAGCAATTTGTTACCCATACTTTCATTTGTAAAATATTGTAGAAAAAGGATTCTAATCGATCGGCCATGACGTACGACAATTAATTAACACTGAAAATGTCGTATTAGTTTAAATTATCTTACGCAAGCTATTATGAGAATGCTAAAAGTCAATTTTATATACGATAGCATACGCTAATTCTCAATACTTAATGCCTTGAATTGGTGTACTGTATTATGACTTAATCCAATTGATACTGTGAAAGGTATACGCAAGTATGGTGAATTGGAAAGGTGATCACCATTTTTAACTCAACACAGTCTAGCTTTAACGAATCACAAAATTATATATATCAACTCGGGTACGCTGCTTGAATGCATTAGGATAGTAGAAAGGCCACTACATCAATATCAATGATCAAGGTATACGAGTACGATTGCTTTTAATTTCTTGAACATTTTACAAACACAGTATGATCAATAATTACGCGCTTTGAGTACAAATTTTCAGTAACTTCTAAGTCAATTTTAAAAGTGTAAAGAGAATAATGTGAAAATTGTTACGTATTGATTCTCAATCTTATACCGGTTTAGCGTGAACTAATTTAAGCACTATGCTCTATAACTGTAGATGTCTTTTATGTCAGGGTTAGGCTTAGGGTGGATATTGATTCCCAATACTATAAACGCATTTGCAGAACAATGTGCAATATACAGTTTAAGGATTTAAACCACTACTTCAAGTATTACTTATCTACAATCCATGATATAAACAATGAAAGTTCAATAGTCAGGAGTTTAGATAACAATGTATTTCGTTTATTCATGTTTTATTAATATAAACTATTACAAATCACAAATACATATTAGATCAGATCATCACACAATCTAATACATCAAACATTGGTTGAAAGTTGTACAATCAACTGCATTCCAGTGATCACAGATACTCTTGTTGTATACTGCATGAAGCCATTTCAACAAGATATAGCAATCTAAGGTCACACACTATTTAATCATCGATGAATTACACCAATAGCTCCAGTAACATTACTAATAACGCACGCACTTATAAGTATTGCACGACACAGATCAAATTTCCCAATTTATTATTATGATACCCATACAAATAAAATATAAATTGAAATAAAAGAACATTTTAGTTACGTTTAGAAAGATTACCTATGATCTCACACTACAACCTGACAACAGTTTAGTAAGGGTTCACAATTTACGATTAAAAATGTTACCTCATAATCCTGTAGCTAAATCAAAAATCGTACAAAAGATGCATCGGTAATAGGTCATTACTAAAATGGTGTTGCTTACTGGAATTATTATCTATTCTATGACCGCAAAGCGTCATAGTAGAATACCCTATATTAATTGTATTATTCATAGTAAGGGTATTATTATGATTTCATTTTGATAATAACTTATTCAGCAGATGAACAATGTTTACTAATTCCAGTCTTTTTTAATATCGAATGACCATTCCCACGATAAATAGATATTTTTATCGTCATCAGTGAATTTACTCTTAACTGAGTAGTGTCCACGCGAAAGCATACCTTTCGGTGCTTCTTCAACAGGGGTTGTGTAATGATGACTATTAGGACTTGGTCCATAACTACCAACCATGTAGGAACTTTTGTCCACTGAAACATCAGACGTTATCGTTTAGAAGGATGAAAAAGAATTAACCGTAAGCTATATCGGCACCCGAATAGCCCTAATCAGATACTAAATAACTACATACGTATAATGAAGTACATAGCTGAAGAAGTCAAATTTATATAGTACACGAAGTAGTGAATAAAAGATGAAAAGCATTATTACAAAATTTCAAGTCACGGTATGACTTTAAAAATACCTCTGATGCCTTTTCGTGATACGACTTGCATGTATTTTAATCCTGACACGATTTCATGTTGAATCTACATTAAAAAAAAGTCAATTTAGATAGTAAATTAATAGGTAGCTTTGATGAATAGGTGTATTTCGCAATCTTGTAAGAATGCGTCATGACATCAATTCTTTAAACTTAATCAAATACACATTTCGAGTCTATATTTACAGTAGGGTCATAAACATCACAAACTATTGAAATTAGAATTTTTGAACCGAAACAACCGCTACAGTCGATTCAGGAATCACTACTCATAATGCAAGCCTAGTTACACGAACTGCGTAATCTGCATGACAGCCTTAACTGGTAATCATTTATACCACCAACTTAACGGATATAAATACTGTCTATCATACAACAAATTGGTTATGAAAAGAAATAGCCAATTTCACATCGTTGCAAAATAAATTATCGTAACATAATTCAACCACTGTCGAGCGTGACTGTTGTACGATGGACAACAGAGTAGTTCTAGTGACTTAGTCAAAATTAGTTACGGAGTATTTAGTAGTTTATAAACTTTTGGATAGCCAACAATTTTGAACAGATTATATTTACGTACCTTAAAAGAGATTTTGATCCGATATTCACATCCTTCCTTAATCGTAATAGCCCGCTCTTTCAGTTTGGATATATCACCTAGAGTAACACGTATCAAAATTAACACAAGTGCTCTATTCCATATAACAGAATAATTTCTTGTGCCACAATTTTAGTGGTACATAAATGTTTATCTCGTCTTCTCTATGTTAACTCGGTTAACCAATTTCGATAAAAATCAAGATATCAATCACGATGCTATGTAGTAACTCCAATTACAATAAATTTATACACTAGCGATATTCCATTCTAACGTTAAAACTTCATTTTCTTGATAATTATCAAGGTCAACTTGAATTCAACGATTTAATTTATATTTAATAAGGTATTACTTATATATCCAGGAAATGAAATGTACAATTAGGAAAACTATGACAATGCTTAATACTATTTACATTTACAAATCTATTTTGTGATATAGTAAATGACAATTGATACATTAAACCAGTATAATGACTGTTGAAATTACATTTGATACATTAAATCGGTATTCATAACTATTGTCACTAAGAAGAAGCAGTCTTGATCGACAACCATGAACATAAACGTCATTGATGCATTACACAGTTACATGATGTAATGTTGAAAATCTCGAAATTCTTCACTACAAATTACGCTATAAGTGAAAAATGTTTATAAAAGCGACTTACCTGTGAGATCTAAGGAGAAGTCATCGCGACCTTCGACAACTAGAGAGATTTTTTGAACAATTACTTTTCGGGGATCAGAAGAATCTAGTATGGATGAAGGATAAATATCGTTAGTGATCGGTATTATAAATGAATATAAAATTTTACGAATACGTAATCAATCCTTTTAACAATCAAATATAAAAGAGTTATGCTGCAACATGGGCTGTATCAACCAACTTTTTGCCATGTAATGGCTTAAGTATGAGGGTTTAAAACAGTACTGTGTAAGTATTCCCTATCCGGAAAAGTGTAAAAAAAATATCAGTTGTATTAATTGCCAAGTCATACTGTCCTCAATAAAAAGCGCTGAAGTTAATGTTCCCGTCGCATTTTACGTAAGTATAGAACGCATGCAATCTAGGGTTTGTTTGGCTTACGTTAGTAATAAAATTAGAAAATCTTTATAGCAAGGGCTACGGAATGGATGACTTAATCAATGGCATCCGATAAGTACGCTAATTTCATTAGTACCATTTACATTTTATCTGATGACGCTGTCGCTGCTTCCTATCCGATACAGACACACACTTTGTACTGCATAATTTTATTTGAAGAAAACTTATTGTACTAAAATTCAAGGTTAAACTTTTGAAGGCACCCTGAGCAATCTACAACATTCAATCAATGCTATAGCCATTTCAGCATCATGGTACCTTATAAAGTCATTGAATACAGCTCTACAATCTAGACGTGCAATAGGGTATCATCATGGACTACTCCATAGGGTAGATTAAGTTACTTTAGTATAGCTTGTAAATTACATTATTACAAAATTTTCGGTAAAAATAATATAATTTTGATATTCCCCGCAATTCACGGTGGATTGGCATTTCAACATGTCCATGATGTCCACATAGACGAGTAGTTGTGTCTTTTATCCTCTACCCAAAATGGGGGATGTTTAGCAGATCATGTTGGAAGTCTATTTACTCAATTAATATGAAAATTACAGCACAAAAAGCAAAAACACGTTTTGAGATGTGAAAGTTTTTTACAACACCACCTGCAACCATTTCGTCATACCGCTTTACAGTACTTTGATCGAAAGTAAAGTAAAGTAAAGTAAGAGATTCAAATTGAAGTCCGATATTAGAAAGACAGTAAGCTATTTGTTCTAATCGTGTATCAGCTGTTGATAATTAATTTGTATGATAATTGCATAGTAGCGACCAGTATTTTGCGATCCTATGGTAGCGACAAAGATTATGTTTCTGCAAGGGAGTAAAAAGATATCCATTCGTTGTCTGTCAACTCTATTTGCAGTATAACAAATAGGCACAATAATTAGGTAGTTCTTTCTGCATGCATCGTGCTTTACCATCTTTGTTTTATTTGCGGTCAACTAGGAGCGTATTAGCGTCTATACTATAAAGTATCGAGCAAATAGACGAGTAAATTAAAGATGGCGTACAGGTACAATTTTATCGTTGATCTTTCATCAATATCATAGCCCTCTTTTTTACTTTGATTTACTGTGCTAAACGACTTATGGGAGTTTCATTCTCCAGGTTGGTGGATTAAGCGGTATTCACAATATTATGACAATACTACTATAGCTGTAATTGTTTTTTATCATAGCCAATATGCTATCACAATACTTACTTTACAATTTTGCAATGATACTTATTGAAAGGCTGATTAAAAGCATGAATGGTCAGTGTTGGAGCCATTTTTTTTCTTATAGAATACAAGTGTAACCGCACATTGTAAAACAGTAGAATGTTCTTTCAATAATTCTAATGGAAAGGATGCTTAGGGGAAAAAGGTCGGAGAAACCTATCAGGACTCCCTAGCCCACTAATAATTATATCTCTCTATCAGCAGCCATTTAGACCAGTAATCTCAACATGCCTACTCATTAATCTGTCCTAACAATGTTGAATATGGTGTTAATCCTCTTACCCTATTTAGACACAAGTTGTTGATTACTAATTTAGGTCTTATGCGGAAGTATTGGTAGCATTTTGGGAATTTTCTCGAGCGAAAAGAGATGACACTATTGAAGAAGGGTTGAGAAAAAAATGGTTTGTCAAACAGTGAATGCTATATTCGCTACTTGCCCAGACTCCAGTAATAGATGGAAGAAATCTTTGCATGTATGAGCGGACGGATAACTAATCTATCATACGTTTACAAGAATATAACGCCTTGAAGATGAGATTTATGAAGTAGAAGTGCGTGTTACTGGATGCTGTTGGTGACAATTTCAACTCGAAAGTGAGGTATTCAGAAATCAAATTCTCATTGATTGATCATGCAGCCATTCTAACTATCAAGGCAGAGTGCCGATGAAGAAAAGTAGGACTTACTATCCACAGTAAATTGAGTCCCCGTAGGCCAGTATGACCATGATGGGAACGCACCCAAAGGGTGTACTTCGAACTTTCATGTAGACATGTAGAATGTACTTATCATTGGATAAAATCAATGGAGTATTTTCCACTTGGCAATAACCAATTGATGTGGACATGCAGAGCGTTACTATTGCGACTAGGGAGGATATGAAAAAATTGAATTTGTGATCAATCTTTGACGACTACTCTATTACAGTGACGACTTGAAATCAGCCACTTACTCCACCTTGACTCATTGACAAGGCGATATACTGTTGATGCAATTTGAAAGGGAAATTTGTGCTAGAGTACAGTATGCCATTAGGGATGATCAGTCGAGCAGTCGTAGATACCGATCATGTGGAATAGTAGAACTCCTATCTATCCCTTGGCCACAATTTTGGCCAACTTTCCTCTAACGTGAAAGTCCGTCCCTGTCATTGGACGTCGTCCATTGGCTGTAGTTTTACACTAGACTGTTGTACAAGTACGATAGTCCTTGATCATGGTTAGAAAGCGCTACCCAGGCAAAAGATTTGCAAGAAATAGTTGCTAGTTTACGTTGTGGGGGATATCCCATCTGATCAAGCAAGATGATAGGATTTCTCAACGAGGTAGTCGTTTCCCCTTTTTCTTACCTCCAACGTTTCCACCGGCCGCCGCGGCGCCAAGCAGAGCTTGCTTATATCGTACTAAACTTTCATCCTCCTTATCCAGATTTTGAATCTCTTCGATCGATTTCATTTCGGGTGCTTTATATCCTGGGGTTTCCTCAGGGGCTATATCAGCTTCTTCTTGTTCAGCCATACCTGACTTTTGCAAATAAATCGACTTGAAACGAGTAGAACGCAGACGGCAGGGATTAAAATGGAAGAGAAATGAGGAAAAATAATTTTCTGCCTTCGACTTAGCCCAACAGGCGAAGAAAAGCTTACCGTCTACAGTACGGAGAATTGAGGTGTGTACTGTACACTGTACACTGTACTGCACTCTGGACCGGACCAGACCATCAACTCGTAGTTGATAAAAGGGATTGAACCGAACCGGACCGAACCGAACCGACCTTCCTCAAGTCTACGGCATCAAGGCTGGAAGTACAGTCCATACTGTACAGTGGACTGGTGTAAAGTACTGTAACAAAAGTACTGTGCACTGTACAACAGACCCAAACAGTGTCCTGTCTCGGATTCATTTATCGATGGCACCTTGAAAAACTAGAATTGTGTCTGTTCAATCAGGCCCAAACGAGTTCAATTCTATCGGTAGTGGTAGTCTAATATCCATGGAGATATCCTTCTACGGGTATCTATTAATATTCTACTGGAATTTCAACGGAATGCAACTTGGATTTTTGAACCAAGGGGTGCTATCGAAAATAATTAGAATCAGAGTGTACAGTACAGCGGACGGGGGCGTAAAGTACTGTACATTCTACATTCGATCCAAACCTTTCCCAGGAAAAGCCACTGAAACGGCTCTTCTACTCTATACTGTAGTCTGTAGAGTCTATCGTATACAGGATCTTGCTACAACTTGTCCAAGTTTCCATTTTTTAGTGGATACCTTGATAGGTTTTAGTTCATGGAAGTGGAGGTAGATGGCTTGAATTTGACATAGGCGCACCGAAAATATGGATTAATTTTGCTACCAATGCATTAAAAATAGATAGGCATTTCAGCAGCATTTCTGGATATGTTGTAGGGAAATGAGTTGGATCTCGACTGCATAATAATACCGTCGAGATTCTTTGTAACATTGTAGTGTACAGCCTGATTCATTTCGATGGCACCCTGAAAAGAGATCATTGAACAGCGTTGTTCACATTTAAATGCTGAATGTTAGAAGGGATATATGTAAATATTGTATTATATTACTCAGAAATTTCAACCGAAGGCAACTTTGATTTTTCAACCAAAAGGTGCCATCGAAAGTAATCAGACTTCATCATCATAATAATAATAACAATAATCAGACTGTTGTACACAATTAAATGCGGAATGTTAGAAGGGGTATATGCAAATATTACTCAGGAATTTCAACGGAATGCAACTTTGACTTTTTTAACCAAAGGGTGCCATCGAAAGTAATCAGACTTCAACTCTTTTACTACCGTAGTAGCCGTTGCCTGTTTTCTTTCGTTTTATACAGCGCAAGTGCTCATCCAAAAGCAGTCTGCCATGACTATGGCGATGGCTATAGTGTCCACTACTGTAGTAAATTTCAGGTTAAGTTGAACAAGAGAAGAAATGATGCCGCACTCGTCTGCTCATAGTTGATCGTTTCTTCTTCAATTACCCCTTGAATCAAGACATTTTTTCCACAGTAATTCATTCCTTTCCATTTTACATGCTGTAGCCGGCTCCGGACTGTGATTTATCCGACATCAAAATCCCAGGATGTGGTACTTCTAAATGGAAAGCAGGAAACCTGGACCTGTTGAGCCACGTCGAAGAGGAAATTGCAACAATTCCTAATCAGCCTCTGCCTTGACTAATGTCTTTTGCAACTGGCAAGTGTTCTCGACTCCTTTTATCGCTGACTCATTTGTTTATTTCCTTCCATAGAGGTAGAAGAAAATGCTTTGACGAGTAGTCCTGGGCAAATTTTCCCCCTTCTACTATCCGCAATAGACGGATTTGTGCGGCAGTGAAATAACTGCTAGACAATACTAAGCAAAGGAGTATGGGTACAGTAGGCTAGGGAAAGAGGCGGCTCGAAACTAGGAAAAATGACGTCTTTGCAGTCTTCAAGCGTACATCATGTCGTAAAGAAGGGTCGATGAATTCAATAGCAATGGAATCAATTTGACATTTGTAGCTTCAATACGATAAATTTCCAAAGTTGTTCATACTTTGACTGTTGAGTCTTGACATTGCGGTAAACAGGAGCACAGTTTACAACATGGCCTAACCAATTCTAGAAGTTGACATCGCTGTAAACAGTTGCATAATAGAGAAAATGGCGTAACAAATTTCAGTCAGTTTACCTACAGGTTCTTGTAGCCCTCTAATTTAGTCATGAATTACTGATTGATTGAAGAGCGTCATTACCATAAATATATAATAATTGCCGTTGCTTACTCAGCTATAACACCTGGTAAAGTTATTTCGATCAGCCTTTCTGCTAACGCCATCGAACCATTTCCTCTACAAAAAGCAACCAGTTGATTCCATGAAAAGAATTGTTCGGCCTATGGATCCAATCACACCTTGTTGATCTCTGGTATTAACAAGCTAATTAACTGTTTCAATTATTCCATGATCATGCCAACTACCCTATCAATTTCTAGAGGGAAGAAAAATTCATGAAAGCGATGGACAGATTTGATTAATGCCAATACAGTCATGGAGTCCTTCGTTAATCGGATTACCTACGCCGATATTCGAAGGGATCGATTGTGCCAGAATTCTGTAGTATAATGTCATTAATTTGGGAAGGTTTTTCCTGACTATCATGATTGCAGCATAGAATACTGGAATTACTGTGCCAAGCCAACAAGCGGCATACGTAAAAAATAAATACTGCATATTGATCATAACCGGATAAGATTTCGGATCTTGTACGCTACTTTGTACCGAATGAAATTCCCTTACTGCCATCCAACTTAGCGCAGCCAAGAAACACCTTAGTCTGCCATTCAAAGTCGCAAACTATTGCATTTCAAATTGGTTATTGAAAATTCAAGTTTTTACATAATAGGAATTGATCAAGGATGACGACTAATATACGAGTATACCCAACGCAGCTTGCGAAATATCAACAGTCATGACAACAATTCTTCCAAATGGACACCTTTAGACCGTTTTATTCAACGTTTGCATAAACATCAAAACACAGATTGTACATCACATAAGCCACCAAACAGTTCGGTATAGATTAAGCTTGATTAAAAATGCTAACCGCATGCCATTTATGATGCAAAAGCATACGTAAACTTACCGGTTACAATAACAAATCATTTTCGAAAACAACATAGAATCCTCTTACGGTATCAACTATTCAATCGTGATTATCATACTCATCAGATTATACACTACTCGCTAAAGGATATTTATAAACTTTTTCGAGAGGACTATTAGTACATTGATGTAAATTAATGGTCATAAGATACGACGTTTAAACAACAGTGTTCGAAGGCGATCACTAAAGATGACCAGATACATCAAAAATGACGATATAATCTTACATACCATACCACAGTTAAATCATGGTTTAATTAATCAACCTTACAAAAATACGATTAGAAAGACTACGATATCCTAGAAATGACCTTAACACATGGTGTTGATGAAATGGAATCAAAAATCATATAACAAATGCATGTAACATGCTTCATTCAATAACTTACTGTTAATAAACGACTAGCCTACAATCCTACTCGCTAGTTTAATAGTAGTAATATAGGATCAATGATTGGGCGATTCCTCATAATCAAGTGTTTACCAAATGAGATATCATCAACATTTATTCTGATGATATTTGCCGTAATGCCTTAAATCGCTCAGGTTATTCCCAGTCTTTTTTAATATCGAAGGACCATTCCCACGCTAAGTGAACGTTCTTATCATCATCAATAAATTTGCTCTTAACAACATAGTGACCGCGTGCTATCATACCCTTAGGCGCTTCGTCACTAGGGCATAAATAGGATTGTATTTCTGCTTTTGGCCCATAACTACCAACCATGTAAGATTGCTTGTCAACTAAACATAGGATAGAGCCATGATATAGGTAGGATTTAATTTTATGCCATAAAATTGATGATAAAAGAATGAGTATTATTTTAGGCAATTCGACAAGCACCATGTCATAAATTCATTTTGAAATCAATTCTAGCACTATCCATGCGATAGAATAAAGTAAAGTACGGGAAAGATTAACGTTACACTTTTCACTAAAATGAAATCTCCATGACTACTTTTACAATTGATCACTCAGCATCATCGTCTTAGTACTGTACCTGAGATTCCCTTACGAGACACAGCATGATGATATCTTAATCCGGATACAATTTCATGATGCACCTGTAAAAAGTCGGATGAAGCATATTATTTAAGCGAGAGTAACTAAGCAGGAGGTGAATTATACCGTTTACAACATAGAAAAATTATATTTCTGTGTAAATAGTGAATGTATCGTTCAGTAATTATCGCGCCATGGCTTTTAAGTGTATATAAAAAGGAAAGGCTATGGAACTACAATAATGCAGTAGAAATTCTCATGACTGCATGGGTAGAGAGAGTGAATCGATTTTCAGATTAACTTGTGATAAATATTTCAAGCGGCAATCATAATGTCTGTATTGATTATTCATGATTTATATATTCGCTACATTCTACTTTGATTTGGAAATTGTTTTATGCTTGTAAAACTATTCTTATACCGTATATATGAACGAGAACGGATGCGAAATCGGTCATTTTGCAAACTGCCCGGGTATTTTGCAAAATGACAATACGGCAAGATATTTTGCAAACTTCTCTATATTTCGGTTTAATTTTATCGTAAGCAAGTGCAGACGTTGCTTAATAGATTGCGGCAGATACCTTGAAAAAGATTTTGATTCGATATTCGGTGCCTTCCTTAATGACTATAGTCTTTTCCTTGAGCTCAGACAAGTCACCTGTAGTATACCATCATATTGGCCGTTTAGTTCCATTAACATTGCAAGAATATGAGCAAGAGAATAGAGGTTATACAATTCAGTATATTAATATATTTCAGTAATAGCTGCTACTATTGATTTTGATTATCTTGATAAATACTTCATTCGTAACAATTATAGGCAGATAATTGCAAATATTAATAAATCCAGCAGTAATCTTTTGAAATCGTATAATAAAAGGATCGCATTACGCAAAGATGAATGATGAACAAAATACTGAAAGTTAAGAATGTAGTATATTACTCCACTAGTAAATTTCCTGTTCAAATGACCAAGTATATATTCTATACAAAGTAATACATTAAAAGAAAATTTACAACTAGATTATCTTACTATATATACTTCCTACTGCAGGTATTTCATGCTATCAATTATATTAAGGACAAAAATGGAAAACGGTTTACCTGTGAGATCAAGTTCGATGTCATCGCGACCCTGGACAACTAACCCCATCTTTTCAACAATTACTCTCCGAGCTAAATATGCAAGCCATAAAAATAATTAGCCGGCTTAATTAAGCAAATGATTATTTCAAGAGATAACGCAGTTCCAATATTAGATTAAGATTAAGGTATAACATAGCGAAGGAAAATATACGTAATACGTTAAATTATAAGATTTTATGTAATCATTTAATATAGTGTAGATAATACATATACATCTATTGCAGCAATTTTATTGCAATACTTGTATTATTATGTATTAACTTGTGATAATATCCGCCTTAAGGATGTAATAGACGCGGCGTAAATATGTGATTATATGGTAGAAAACTTTATTTCCATGGACAAACAGTATCGAAATAAGGCGAAGATTGTATGTATCTTATTTTGTGTATGAAATATTCCACACATTACATTGCTATTTGGATGGGGATTCGTCAGCGAATGCGATGGGTATATTGCTAGTTACACTAATAATTATGGTCGTATCAAGTCATAAAATATCCCGCTTTCGTTTTCATTTCCGTCGCACTATTTGTTGTCGGTTAGATACATTTAAGTCGAATCTAAAAATTGTAGATAGTAGAGTCCACGTCTGTCTTAACAGTCTTTTAGTAAAAGGTATCTTTCATTATTTGGTCAAAATTCAAAAATTTTAGTTGGAGTATCAATTCTAAGCAGATCAGCATTTAAATGCTGATTCAATTAAAATCATGCTGCACAGTTTTAACTATTTTATAACAGGGTTAATGTCTCACTGGCGGTCTAGCCAATGGTACAATGGATACAGTGGATAATTTGATGAAGCATATAATATAATTGATGTTAAAACGAAAACCATTACTCCTCTAATCCAGTTCGATTGTGTACTAATAACATCATTTTAACTATGTAATTAGGGTCAAAATAGCCGTCCTATAGTACAACAGCATGAATGAATAAGTGAAGGCTGGACGATCAATTTTGTTGCTTTTTTCCCCATCCAGATGAGTTGAATAATATATAATTTTAATTTAGAATTTAAAAATCATCAGAAAATGGTTACAATCGAGGGCATAAATATCCAAATTGATGCAATAAATAAAATTGCTTTCAAATTTTTTTTAGGTAATATTAACAAATTCGCGTCATTTTATTAATCGTATAGTCCAAATCAATGTATTACCAGTACGCACCTAATTCTAGCTAATAACCCAAGCTTAATGACATAGTAGTATAGTATTTACCTAGCCACTCTGATTCCAGCGAATTATTTGACTATTTAGAACCCTCCATGATGACATCATCTGACACTTCCAGCATTTAATTTTATTATTATAGTATCTACGGAATACAACAGCCGAAAGTACAATAATCCATTTTACATTCAATTATTAGACAATAGCTGTTTCTATCGGTTTCTTTCCGTCAACATAATTGGAATAAATTATCTTCATTTTTTCTTTACGGTAAAGTAGAAGTTAGCCAACTGTTGGCAATAGACTGATAGACAACATATACTGTAGCACGATATGTGTCAGTATGGCTACTGGTATAGTTAAAATTATAGTCTTAGCGGGTAGGGTCTCATCAAAAGCCAAAAAATTACTTCATTAAATAATCGAATAAAATGGTTAACGATAGAAAACATATTAAAAAGGGAATAAGAACGTTTTATGACTGTAAAGTCGAGGAAAGAAGTACCGTAAAATACTTTTCTATCCAAGAAGTTCTCGAAAAAGAATAGGTCTCAAACCATGGAATGGGCGTTTATTATGAAATAATAAAAGATACCTTAGTCAAAATGTCTGTATTTCGAATCGATGCATCTCTTTTTAATGATAGACTAGATTAAAATGTTAATTAGTATTAGTTATTACGTACTTTTCCGGTAAAAAGGCAATCGAAGATGAAGGTATAAGAGTTAACTGATTGTCATATGGCACTAGTAAACGTATTATACGTGTATAGTAGAAGGGTGTTTATTCCGTTTTACCACTATTGGAACAATTTTGACGGTAGTGGAAATTTCATATAGTTTTATCATTATCATTGGAATAGGGAATAATTGTAGGATACATATAGTTGGAAAAGGATAAAGATGGTTAAGAATATCCTCAACAATATTAAATGGTAAGTGCAACCCTTTCCTACATTATAACCTTTCGTATAATTCCAATACCAAACTATTCATTCCACCGGTTGGCGAAATAAATTGAAAATGAATTAATTACCACACCATACTTCTCTGTTCATCGATTTGCACGAGTAGATTATATCTGGCGAATTTATAGCATCGCTGTACATAAACGATACAGCGTTGCACTTGTATTGACATTATGCTGCTAGGTCAACTTCAAGACGAATATATTGACTATTTGCAATATGTATAAAATTTCTGTTAGACTAGTGAATAGGATAAAACATTTTTCTTACGATCATCTTTTGGTGCGGCTGTCAAATCTACTCCGGCGAGTAGCGATTGCTTGTATTTTACTAAACTTTCATCATCCGCGTCTAGATTTTTAATTTCATCTAAGGACTTTTGTGCTGGTGCCTTATATCCCGGGGTTTCTTCTGGTTCTTCGTTCAATGGTTTAATATTAGATTCTTCGGCCATGACACTTTGATATCAAGATGCGATCTATCAGAAATATCCTACAATTATGTGATGGTCCGTCAAGCAATATTGGACAATAAACTGTATCGCAACTATAGCAATCGGTGGCTATATAATCACTTCCCGGTGATTTTATAATCCGTTGAGATGGTAGTAAAGATTATCGCTACAAAATCTCGTCCATTTGTGTAGTAACAAAGCCATTGCATTGCATTAAAGGTATTTTTATCATTGTTTCATGGCATTAGTATGACAATAATATATAAAAGTCCCTAAGGTCTAATGAAAAAAGAACAAGTAGTTACGCGCAGTTCTTGAATTGTAAAGACAAGCTTTTATATTCTATTACAATGGTCGTCAGATCAATTTTTCACGGTGTTTGTCACTTAATACCGTTAAGATGCCATAGTAACTATAACGTTAATCAACCTCGAAATCTTAGCTTGATAATTTTATTAAAGGTCAGCATGATCGACTTTAAAGCTGAAAGTAATATAAACACAGTACCTCAAGTTGATTTTGATTTACTAGTCGACACCTTCTTTAATGATAAAAGTCGTGTTTGTATGTTTAGGTATGCCACCTATAGTAATTAACAAATATTATCAGCGTTTCAGTCAGCTGAGTCATTGAGTAATGTAAGAAGCAAAGCAAAGGAAGAACTGAAATGCTTTAGCGTAATGATTCCTTATGGTCATGGCTACTTCTTAATATTTTTTAAATAACTGTCTTGATGAAATTTTTAGTAACAACTGTACACTGTTGATTATAAGTACTAGAGGCTTTGAAGAATATGTCTCAAAATTGTACGATGCAATGATAAAACCTACTGCATTGTATGAATGAAAGTATTGGCACTGACAAGCTGCTACAAGTTAAGAATGCTAAGGAGCATCCTTCTTTAAAATTATTGTTGCAACATTATCACCTATGAGTAGTGATTTATTTGTAAGATTAAACGTGGTATAATGATATTTTTGAAAGCTATCAACATTTTCAATGATTCTAATTGAAGCCAAATATGCTAGGCATAATAATTTACTAGTCATGTCAAGAAAGCTTATTTTGTGACCATACAAGCTAATTTATGAATCATTTATGCGGCATGTTTTAGAATTAATACTAATTTAATAGTAAAGTTGACAGCAAGGTTGCATAAAAATCATATTTAATTCTACAATCTTACCTTCTGTATACCGTATATTTTATTTATAAAGCTGCTGTAGTGATTTCAGTAAGTTGCAGTCTTACATTATATGGCTAATAGTAATAGCTGGAGACTATTACTCGGTCATTGCAGCTGCAAATACGGCTAATTTCTGCCTAATATTTTAATATTTATAATAGAGCTAGTAGGATACCTTACTATGGAGAGTAAAATAAATTATTGATCGATATAAGGAGTTGCTAAGCCATCAATTTTATGTAATAAAATGTTAGCTATTACTTCTAGAAGTGATGCTACTATCGACAGGAGTAGTAGCGGAAAATAGAGATTTATTACCAGCATTAAGCCACGGATATGAACGTAGATTTATAAAACCGAGATTGTCGAATCTTGATTACCAGAATATAAATTTCTTTTTTTTGTATCTGATTTCTTTAATAAGAAGTATTCCTTCTCTATTTTCTTCTGTATTGTGGAAGCAATCAGTAACCAACAACAATTTTCTTAGTTCAAAACGATTTCCGTTTCATCGGTGACTATCGTGATTATTTCTGTCTTTGCTTAGTTGAATGTCGATGGTCTTTCCATAGATTCCTAAATAATTACTATATGGTACGATAGCAACCCTATGCAGTGAATAATGGAATATAGTAAGCGAGAGTATTCATCGTATGTCGATATCGACACATAAACCATAACGATAATACTTCACAGACGGAGTAACTTAGGTTATATAGCTGCCAAGTTTCTTTTTTTCCCATGCCATTCAGTACAAATAATGTCTTCAATTACCTTAATTGATCCTCTTAATAGTCTAGTATAAACTATACAACTCAAAATTGAGAATTAGTAATTTTAAGACTGTAATTAGTAGCATGCTTGAACTAGATAATATTAGTAATACGATAATAAATAATAATATTTAACAATTAGTAATAGAGTAATATATACTGTAGTAAGTGCCGTAATAAATAGTAATAAAATTACATATTACCAATACGAATATATTTGATTAGTTTGATTAGTATAATGAATTATATGTTGGATCATTTTTATCGATTCGATTTTTATAATCTGTTATGAACAATTGATAATATACCAATATAGATTAAGCACCAATTCAATTAAATATAATTTAAGCCTAAATCCCCGCCCAAAAACAAGAAGCAATTCAAACGAATACGTTTGCAGTAGGTTGATTCGGTTGCTGTTTTAATCTATACACCTCAAGATAGGATTGCAAGATATTTATTATATTATAGTACATTATCTGATATCATAAGAGATGGTAGCGAGCTGCTTTAATAGATGAAAATGATAACCTAACAAATACTAGAGTTCTAATATCATTAGCTAAAGTAGAGTTAACCATATTTTTTATCTACTGGTACAGCCATGCTTTGATTAATGGTATCTTAAATAATTATCATCAATTCTTTGGATATAACCTCATTATATTATGGCTAAATTGGAGAAAATACCTTCGCACTAATAATCAGATATCTATCCTTAAGTTGATTACTCATCTTTCTCAGCATCAAAGCATAAGGTAATACAAGCTACTTTGCCGCTTTCGGAAGTCTTTATCAAAAATTAATGCTTGATCACAAATACTAACGATTGAAAACACGAAAGACGATCCCATCATGTGAATATTCACATAGATTTTCTAATAGATTGTATAATTTATGAGTACCATGGTCATCATAATCAGTATCAAATTGTTTTAGTTTAGATAGACTTAAAATAAATAGGTGCAGGTCATTACATGGAAATTTGATTAAAGCACTCCATAGAAATATTGCAAGTTGTTTATGTGCGATAGCAAACATGTGGCGATCCAGTTTTTCTTATCAGTTTATCATCCATTAGCATTAATATTAACATTAGGAGCATATTAAAAAGAACAACAAAAAAATATTTGCTACCAGGCTAAGGAATAGAAACTAGGCAAATTATAATTTGATCTATCGGAGACTTGATTTTCTTGGTATTTGGCTTGATCGTGGAGTTGCTGCCTTGATGCTGGGTTTGCTTCCCGGAGAGCTTAAATCTTGATTTGAAACGGCATTCCCTTTAAGACTTGGTAGTTCCAGCCCCGGTAAAAAATTTTGTTTTATAGCTTGAGAATCATTTATAGACTCTGATGAGACTAAAAAGGAATATTATACGAAAATCATGAATAAAGCGGTTATGTAATCACTTTGATCTAATTATACCGTAGATTTTTACAATTCAAGAAATAACTTTCACATAAAGTCTTAGATCGCTATATGTTTATAAAATGCTTGTATAAGCAATGTCTAACATGGTTAAACTCATAACAAGAATAGAAACAATTAGATTTCAAGAATTACTTTAAAAGTTAGATCGATATTACCTTCCAGGTCATTAAAGGATCTTGATTTAGATATAGTTCCAATCGTGAATAAGTCCGAATTTCGATTAGGAGTAGGTTGAAAGATTTCACTTGCACCTGCATGCTTTTGTCCATTTCTGGAGTGCTTCTCTAATACTGTAAATGGTCCTGTGGATGAGCTGGTCCTTCTTCTCATCAATCTTTCATTATCGTTCGTAACATGGCCTTTAGGTATATCCCTAATTGGCTTATACTTCAAGGTCAATCTGCTAAGGAAAAATTATCTGTTAATATATCTATGTCACAATTGAATTGAAGCTGATTTATTTATCGAAAAGCAGCATATCCTATTAACCCACTTTACATTGCCTAATTCTGTGATATTTTAGTATGTTACTTTAGATTTGTAAAGTACACTACTGGGAGATTTATTACCGTACTTTAAATAGCAGCCGGTTATAAGCTTGCTATTAGCAGTAAATTACTCAGGAAGAAAAACCGATTAATTAAGTAGTAAGAGACTATTTAAGATTCGGCCTTGAGTATTCTTCAAAAATAAAAAAATTGGCTATTACCACTCTTCCGGAATAATCACTGCTTGTATCAGGTAGAGTTGGAATAGATTTAAATTATAATAGATTAAAAAATCATACTTTTTCCGAGGTCGAACTTCAATTGCACTTTCTAAAATCGATTGATATTCTTCAGATTCTATGAAGCGCCGGTAACTATTCCTCTCCATGAGGTAATAAATTTTTTTCTGTATATCAATCAATATCCACTTGTTTGGATCATAGAGTGATTTATCAATATTTCTAATATAGCTAGCATCAATATTAATTTGCTGTGGAGATGATGGAGTTAAATATCGCCTTTGCAATAAAATGTAATAGAATCATCATTATTAATTTAAAGTGGATTCACTACCAAGCATTCATTTTTTTTATTAAACCTCAAGGAATGTAGCAGCAACTATCTACCAGTACTTAATACGTCAATATAATCATATTAAACAAATAAGCCGAAATATGAAGTAACGAACCCGTAAATATCATGAACAACACTAGGCACTAGTGCCATTGGCGTATGGTGTATTAAATTTTCACAATCTAGCCAGAAGCTGTTTAAGAAAAATGCAGAAAGAGTTAGTTGTTACTTGTTATAGTTTGCCGTATAATATCATTCTTTAAGCCTGCAAAATCATAAAATTTACAGAGAATATTACATAGCCATTCACAAAGAGTCAAATGAATTCAGACTTGACATTTAAGTTGACATGATGCTTAACTAAACACGATACATCTATGTATAAAATGTGATGGTTATAACAATAAAAATATTAAGGTTTCAGACCAATACTATCTGAGCGTATCGAGAGGGGTAGCTCCTAGTTACTATAAAAAATCTTATCAAGAACACTACAACGATCAACGTTATATCAGAGACCTGTTAAGTTATATATTCTACCTATCAGTTCAATTATTAAAAAGGAAAATTTTATACAGCAAACTCATAGTCAGTAATTTATTTATAATGACTAATATTATATGTCTTACTTTATATTTTCTTCGCTGTGTTCATTGCTAGCAAATTCAATAAAATTGGTCACTCCAATGTCATCTCGTAGCAAATCTGCTAATGATACTGCCCATAATAAAACTCGACGTTTATGCAAAACTGTGGCACTATCAATAAATTGTATAGGAAAAAAAATTTATTACCTAATGATGATAGCTCATAAATCATGCTAAATTTAGAATGAGGTGTTAACATAATCACTAAAGTGATTTAGTTTACTTGCAGTTATGGATTCGATAGCATGTAACAATATCATCAATTTCCTATTTTAATTTTATGTAGGTAAAATACTACAGCATATATTTTATATTAAATTGAATTACTTGACTGAATTTAGGTTCCATTCTGTAATTTTATCAGTAATCCAAGGATTACTAGTTCTAGTAGTCGGTAGGAATGGATCGTAGTCTTTATATTTTTCACAATTGTTGATAACGCTATCGATAAAGGGAAATACAAAAAGTTACAATCTAGATCTATTTACTTCAAATGGGAGACATATAATAAATACGCAGACTTATTCGTAAATTGAGATAATAATATCTCTTAAGTCCGTATGTAAGGCGTTACTTGGTATCTAATCAGAATTGTGGTATTATGATATATTATATATCTGATTATAATACGACTAGCAGCATAGAATCTGTCACTAATTAAGTATAAAATATTTTACATTCTTACTGCATCTCTCGAGCGGTAAGTATAGTCATTAATATAGATAATGCAGGCTGTAATAAGATAAACTACTGTAAAAGAAATAATAACACACCATGACTGCTACAATGAATGCTAAAATGAATTACCTAAAGTAATTTTATTATGAGGTAATAAGTAAAAAAATTGTTTACCTTTCTACACCTTTTGAAACTTTCATAGCACAACCTTCAATCATTTTTCGCAAGGCTTCCGCCTGTTTACAAAATATCAATTATAATTAGAGGCTATGATGATGGTTTTAAGTACTGTTGAAACGTATTATGTAATCGTAATAGCAATCAATTTAGTGCAGGAATAAGTACAATGCTGCGATAGGCTTCAGAACGAGCATTGTACGATAAGAAAGTACTGGAATAGTGAGAGTTAATGTTAATAAAGCAAAGAGTGTTTACCTCACTGATTAAGGTCCGTTTAGAGTCTTTTGGCTGTAACCGCAAGAGAAGAATTGGCGATAGGGACAACATCACTTCCAATTTATTCATTTTGCTAACTTAATAAAGATTGCTGTTATTATTTTTTACCAACCGTGGAATTTAATCTTCTAAAACCGGCTTCTGACATATTCGCATCATAAGACTACAACATGTAAGGGGAAAAAAGCAATAAATAATTACTTATCCTTCGATAGCTGTATCGACTAGAAATTAGCTTATGTAACGATAATTATATAATGATTAGGAACGGTTTAGCTTAGCCAACAGATTACCGGAGGCTGACGAACTCTCCAAAAACATCTTTGCTCGCTATAACTTAAAGACCTTTCAGCTTTATTGCGCAATTTGTCCTTTCTATTTGTAACCATGAGAGAATTAGAGTAAACTCAAGGAATGTAACAGATACAAACATGATAACTAAAAAACAGCTGCATTAATTTAACAAACCTTTCTTCTTCTTTTGCCTTTGAAATAACAGAATTCCAATTATATTCTAGTTGACTTTGTAGTTTTACCAATGCAGCCTTGAGTGAGTAGTTTAAAGTGATTGGAATAGTAACAAAGATTAAAAATAGATTATACCCTATTTAGAAAAGTAGCTTAATTTTAAACAAAGATGTTGAATTGCTAAATTGTATCTTTGCCAAGGCGAAGGTTGAGTCAGAGAGATTGTACCATTGAGTAACTTTTGTACAATAGCCGTAACATGATTTTATATATAACTTATCTAGAAATTCACTGATGATGGTGTCTTTGATATTTTACATAATATTAGTAGGTAAATTCATACATTTATAATATTATTTAAATATTAATAACTAATATTTACATAGCAATAAAACATAAAATTAGTAGACTTGAATTAAAAGCTTTAGTTCAGCTTTGCAGAAGAGATGCACTCAGATATTCTGTTGTAAACTTGTGATAACTGAAAGTCGTGAATATTTAGAATCATACCGTAGGTAGATGTCAAGAAAGACTAAACGGACGGCAAGCTCATAAAATTTAATTCACTAGCTGTACTTTGATTTCTTCTCGACAAATTTTAACTTGCAACAGATGGGCTAAAGATTTTGAATTATACCGTTGTAGTAACTTATTCCTAATTATATAAATCATAGTTCACCGATTCATGATTGGATATCCGTTCATGCTTCTGTTTCTTAAGCAGATAAATAGCTAGAAATTAAATCCACAAGCCAACGGACTAAATTTTAGTATTAACATTTAATTCAAACTATAACTCATAACAGCTATCAAAAGTCAAGGAATGGCGGTTATTAACAGTTCATGGCCAAAATAATAAACCAAATATTAGTTAAGAGTACCCTACTATACAATATCTTACCGTAATCAGACAGGTCAATTGTAGGAGTTCTGGTAAACCACAAATTAGATGCCTGTTGAATATAATCTAAGTTTAATCAATACAATATAAAGATATGCCGGTATTTACAATAGGTAATTACTACAATTTTCCTCTATTAAAAAATTTCGTTTAGTTTACGGTATCAAATATCAGTCAAGAATTGCAAATGTCAATCCTATCAAATACTGTTTAGGCTGTTACCACGATGATTTTGTAAATTAGGTTAAGTTTGCTTAAAGGATATCATATACCTGAAATCGATAGAACGTATTATCATACTTGATTGCAAATGGTTGTCTGGTTTCATGAGCTGGGTATATGTACCCGTAGCGAGCAAACATGCTAGCGAGATGAACAGCTTCTACTGAAATGGATCAATAATATAAAGATGCAACAGAAATTGAATATTCATCGAAATATAATAAGTCTAATGGATGCAGTATCTCGTAGTGATTAAAATCTTATTAACGTAATTAATAAAATTGTATTATTGATTTAATTCTGAAATTTATGAATTTTAAATAGCTTAAAGCTAAGAAAGTTTCATTACTGGTTTTCATCCGTACAAGTCTGACTACATACTTGCGGAAACTTATACTTCCTTTAAAAAAGGTTATCTACGATTACTTGTGTTAAAAATTACTGGCTTCATAAATATAGCAGATGAAAATCTGTACGGAGATATTGCAATCAGGTAAAATGTTTCAAAACGTACAGGATAACTAAAAGTATGATCAATAATGTAATTTATCTCGGCCTCTTGTAGCATTAATACGTATTTGATTATTAAAAATGTTGAGTTCAAAAATTTGCAAATTATTTCGATTCTTAATCAATGATAAATACATCAGTCTAAATTTTCATCATAACATAATTTGCAAACAGGCCGTAATACTATACGCTTACAATATCCAACTACTAGATAAGACGAAAAAGTAGAAGATTCTAGGAATGATGGATGATATACGTACTTTTATATTTCGTATAAAGTAATATTGAAGAAAAACAATGTATAAAGTATGGTCAACTGGGATATATGAACACTATGCTATCATTCTTAATAATTAGCTAGTATACAACTCAGCGTGGATTTTCATTGCTGACGTATCACTTATCGATAGACAGTTAATATTTTGCAATAAAAAAGCCAGTTCCTATTAATTAATTATCAGATATCTAAAATAGACCTGTTTCCTTGAGATCAAGTCGTTTGATTAGCCAATTGATTAGTTCAGTACCTATTTATATAAATATTACTGTTATTAGAAGATGGACCAGTTATAATCGACTTGGTATTAATGACTTCATTTATTCCGTGCGTATCACAATCGATATTTTTGGGTTTCTAAATGATTACTTGTACCGAATTCGGTATACCTGTAAAGACACTTGGTATACTGGCAAGGAATAGTTTACGTGTTTTGACGGCTAGACCAGTCACCGGATTTTGCATATCCTGAATTAATTTTTCTATCTATCTCCGTCAAGGAAAATAAATCGACCATTTCGAAAGATTAAAATACTAGCTCCTCAAAATTTGCTAATCATCAATAATTTGCCGATACATTTATATTATGAACTGTGAAAAGTCATAATGTAAGGCTCCTATAACCTAGGCATAGCATACGACAACACCTCTTAAAATTGCTAAACGTGTATTTGAGGACAAATATATAATGTCTTAGTTATATTGAAATAATTCGCTTCCATACGAGTTGAATAGTTTTACGAGTAAACCTTTTGAATTAGCAACAATATAAAGGCTGAAACAGTAGGTAGTAGTTCCAACGTGCACCTTTAACAAATCAATTTCAGATGGTACCAAAAATTAATCATATCTGTCAAACTAATTTCTCTCGCATGATAAATTAATAGACAATATCTTTACTGTATAGTAATTTACAGCTGCATGTAAGGGATTAGTAATGATGTAAGCGGCAATTATAAGATATGATTATTTCTATACATACCTTTACTAAAATTAATTTAAAGTCATAGGTCGGCTGTAATGATACTTAAAATACTTTCAGTGAATTCAACTCGTTCAAGAATATTTTCTTTAAAATTTTGTATTGAGAAGTTTCAACAATATGATGGCTTTCCATATACAGTAAGCAGTATGTCTTGAAAGGTGTAACTTTAAAATACCCATGAGCTAATATGGCAGAGTTATTATGACTTGAATACGAAAGATATTGAGGAATAGATTTTATGTGAACTAAATAATCCGGTAATACATTATTCATTGACTTAAATATTAACCAAGATAATATCTAGTAGAGATTTTGAATTTTTTCGGTGATATTAGAAGGAATACTAATTGAAGAGTAACACAGTCAAACATTGAAAAAACTTGCTGAAGTTAAAACTTCATATCGTCAAACCTTTTTCCTAAAAACTTGAAATTTTATGCTTATCTATTAATATTCTTAATCATATTTTATTAGGATCAGCTTCGTAAAGCTGATAGAAAGGAAATAAATTAATATCAATAATTTTCTAATCAATATCGGTGGGATTTCGGGATATAAATATGATGCAGTGCCTATTCTTACGAGCTAAAATAAAAAGCTTTTACTGGACTCAAACTAACCTTTCCACATAGAATTTCTTGCCTTGAAATATCGGTATCCATGGCTGATTGAATTGTAATCTATCTACTGAAAGTTTCACTTCTTACAAATAATAGTGATATCGAGAAATAGTATCTTAGACTTTCATGGAACTCAAGATAATAATTTATTTTTTACAGCATCTGTGAAACGTTAACATGGGTCCTACATACAAAATATTAAGCAAGATTAATAAACGTAAATTTAAACAATGATATGGAAAACTATGTACACAATTTACTGGAAATACTAACCCTTAATTATAAATTAGGCAGCCATCTTTGAATTTATTAAAAATCTGATTTCAAACCTTAAATTGATCGAGGATTCCATAAGAACGTTTCAATTAGAATTTAAATGGAAATGGTATCGGACTGATATCCGTTCATGCTAAGAATATCGATAGGTAGCTAGATGAATTAGAGTTTTCCTACTTTCGACGATCAAATATTACGGAATTCTATATAATCTTGGAAATTGGTTCACATTTAAACAGATATAGAATTATAATATGGATTGAATCGATCTTTTGAAGCCTAGCTATCACTTAAATATAGAAATATAAAATATTCTGTACAAAGTAAGAACGTCAATACGAATAGTCAAATTTTTTGTTGGAGTTGCTTTCATATCTATATCCATCTGTTATTAATTATCCAGATGGTGGTTGGTTATAGTTTTTCTCTTCTAATCCATAATTATAGCTCAGTGATAGACTTGCAATTTAGCTTAGCCCTATCAAAATTCATATTCTGATGACGATAATCTATTCTTCAATGCCATATTTACTCTTCTTTTCTTCTGTACATTGACGTCAATTGTCAGAGTGCAATATGTTGATGATTATTTACCATTTACAATTATATCAATACCTTATTAGAACTTTTTGATTTCGAGCCAATCACTCGTAACGCAATTAAAATTAAAAGCTGCTATTGGAACAACAGTTATTAAATAGTCGCAAACAATTAGCGCTTTGATGTTGAATAAGACTTGAACCATGCCTATTCCTATCTCACCTTCTGCATCAATTACGAGTAAGAATACTGGTCTTTTTTCTCTAAATGTAGCTTCTCGTTGTTAGCCTACAGCCATTTTAAACTAGCCGGATTGAAATTCTAACACCTATTTAAATATAATTATATGCATTGGTAATATAGCGTCCTATTCTAGACCAATGTAATGAAAAGAAATTAAAACATGTTAAAATCACATGTAAATAAGAACAAATCATTTGAGCAGAGAGAAGATGAAAAGATTTATTGTATGATCAGATAAAATAGACAATTAACTATCAGAATGATCGAAATATTTATGTATTACTTTTGTTTTTGCTTGGATATCACTGTCTATACAACAGTAGTTGCTATAACGTTAGCTATAAATTTTAAACTGAGAGTTACAGTATCTAGAAACGTTAATAAAAGTAGGAATGGATATGCTGTAGGATAATAATATAAGCAAATCCGTTATAAATAAACGATCAAAAATTGACAAAAAATGATACTGATAATGATTCAGCAGACAGCTTTAGATAAATGTAATTCTAATTCTTTACTACGGACTCATACTAGTAGTCGGGCTATCACGAGTTCAATTCATAAATATTTTTATTGTACCGAATCTACTTGACATATAAAGTACTTGCATAAATTACAAGAAATAAAAGCATTTTATTTCTAGCTTTCCATAATTCATACGATGACGGTCGGAAGTTTTCCACGATGAGCTGATAAAGATGAATTGAGCTACATGGGAAGAAGTGTGATATAAGTATAGCAAGGTAGAGCTGTCATTCATCGTTAGCTGACTAACAGTGTCGTGATATGGTCATAAAATAATTTATAATTGTAGAGTATAAAATTATTATAACAAAGGCTCCATAATTATAATCATAAAAGTTATGATTCAGGATTGTATTCATTGATCATTAAATTAGTACCTTCTCTAGAAATTTGGATTCGGTATAATCTAATTCAGAAGCCTGTTTAACACTTCTAATTCTACAAGAGATATTAGCGCTTTTAATTGTTTAGAATGTACTTTTTGCCTTGTCTACATTAGGAGATCGCGCGACTACGAATATTCTAGAAGATTTAAATTACAAATTAATACACGATGAAATTATATTAAAAACGGTTACTCGGACTGCAGCATTATTCTTTCAAGGTTTAGATTCGATTTAGAGAGACTAGGAGACCTGTCTCAAGTTCTTCTACTTTAGTAGAAGACAATTACATGATTACTACAATTTTTATAGTTGTCACAGTATGGTCAAATTTAGCGAATTCAGCATTTATACTGGTATAAGCTGATCACAATTAATTACTTACAGTAGGAATTATCGTAATTATAATTTATTACAGTAACTATAAGGTGCACTGCAATAAATAATTATTCTCATATATAATTGAAATTAATTGATCCTAGTAATGCTTTTTGTGATTTTAATCCTGATGATAGCGCATAGAATTACTCAATAGATATCTATGAGTATCAGTATTTCTATAATAATTTGGCCATAAAGTAAGACTAAACTATTAGAATCTTAAGATAATTCAGCAATATTAGTAGCTGTCTAAGAGTATATAAGCTCAGAAAATTACCCAATAAAATCAGTTCTCTAGTTTACCTATCATAAAAGTTATAAGCGAACAAATTACTGTAAATTTGTAGAAATGGACTTTTTATGTTATATTGTCGTAAAGCTTAGCAAGGGCTTAAGTGTACAAATTACTGTAAATTTGTAGATGTTAAGCTTATTATTATGTAATTTTGTCACATAGCTAGTTTGTGACAATAACGTATTACAACTACCATCAATCATTGACAATACATATCAACTATGGCCCAACTATAGACTACAGTACGTGAAATATTCAGAAGTTTGTTAAGTATACCAAATCACATTTGCTCTTGCCCTTTACTATCACCACATAACCTGTAACGATTGCCTGGAATATTAGAAAGGCGTTGCTGATCCATGTGTGCCTACTCGTCTATATAAATAAGCAACATTGCCAGTCTCTGCCCACACTATCATCGTTAACATTAGAGAAGATTCATATAGTACTTCAAAGTTTACCAATAAATCTTAGTTAAGCGACAACAAAATGGTTAAATAATACGTAACACTTGTTGGCGTGCCAATCAAAGAATTAGAGAAAGGGAATCATCCACATGTATACATATACCTTAAAGTTGAAGGATCAGAGTGTTATAAGGCGGCACTTAATGTGAAAGACTATAGTGGCAAAAATATTATGTACGTTTGGAAGGAAGATTTACAGGCTAAATTTTTGAATCATTTAAAATCATTGTCTATAGGTGTAGATAATTTCAGCTGTGCTGCAAAGTCTGCCGCTATTGACTATGTTCAAGAAGGATTTATTATTCAAGAGTAATTTAGCGAAAAAACTGCTGAAGAATTGACACACATTTTAAGTACAACTGTAGATGATATGGTACGCGTATGTGCCCGAAATTCTGAGTCTAAGAATTTTTGTGTGGGATCAATGTTTAATCAAGGAATACACGATATCTATATGAATCAAGGGGAAAGAAAGTACGAATGCATACGAGGATGTGGCCTTAATTTTCTATGATGGCATTGAAGACCAACATAGTGGTGCATTCTTTTCTTTCAAGAAGAATCTTCAGCCTGTGACACTCAAGAATAGCTTGTGGTGATAAATGGGCGATCTCAATAACGTTCCCAATTACTACCTCTTAGAGATGAAGCATTTAGAGAAGATTTTCTAGAAATCGATACTTTGCAGAGAAGTATAGTAATAGTTTAAGCAATTTTAGCTACTCAAACTACTAAATACTGTGTAGGAAGTCGTTATTCCATAGTAAAAAGTTTCAATTAAGTGGTTCCAAAATTGAGTTTGTAACATAAAATTAATTAATCAGGCTAGGTGCTATATTCTACAAAAGTCAGTTAATACTCGTTACCAACACCATTGTTTCAAATGGATAAAAGTATTAATTAAAAAGGCACTTTTAGATAGATAAACCATTGCTAGTGATCATATAACAATGTGTTTTTCAAAAAATTAATTAGAATTTATAAGGTTAGCTTATGAAGAATTTTAGCTTTGCTAAGTTGCCTTGCTATCACGCTTTGTGATTCAATAAGTTTGATAGCGACGTAATAGTAATTTTTTAGCCATTCCTGACATGGAAAGAAGAAACAGAACCAATGCAATCAGAAAACTATAGACACAATAGATAGACCATTAATGATATTGTTGATACAGAAATGATGCATCATTGAAGGTGACGATGGTAATCATTTCGCTAAGTAAACGATGCAATCGATTAATTCTATGAATTTCGTATAGAATATTTTAAAACTGACGGTCAATATAGCAAAAGGATTCAATAGATTCATATCTCTATATGGCTATTTCTTTACGACAGTGTTCGCATAACAATGGAAATATCGATCAATAATTATAGTGACTACTTTCGAATTGGTTATTGAATTTCTACGTTGTTTTCGAAAAATTAAATCACGAAGATACACCTTTCACTTTTTACTTCAGCGTATATCATGTTTATAGAATTCAAGTCATAACGTAGATATTAAGCTACTCGAAGAGCATTCAAAAATCATTCATACGATGAAAGAAAAGGGAGTTTTAGATATGACGGCTATAGAATCAAAGCCAAAAGGATATAACTACAAAGAAATTACTTTAAGTAATGGTATAAGATAGAATAAACGACATGACGATATTGTAACGTAACTTTTTATTATTTTTTAGCTGGGCAACGTCGCGTAGTTATTGCTAATTGATTAGTAAAAGTATCATCTTGAATTAGATGAATTTTTTTAGCTACTAATAGCCAAATCTGTATTATGGATGACTACCAATAGAAAATTGCTATTCATATTACACTTCTAATTCCATCGATTTCCCCATCAATTGTTTCATATTCATAGCAACTGCTTTACAAATAGTTCTTTTATCACCTGTAGTATCAAACGAGGTACGGGAAAAAAATACAGCTATAGCTAAAGAAACATATGGCATTAATATGCCGACTACAATATTACCGAGTGAAGTAGCCAAATCATGGTAGATTAGAATTATAGTTACGGTGTAACCAATTTCAAGAAGTAGCACCAGAAGACAGTTATAAAGCAGTTGTTCTACACCTGGAAGATGTAATAGTTGAGCTGCTGAGTCGTAAATGGAAAGTCTTATCCATTTCCGGCCGTTCAAACTTTCAACAATGTTGAAATTTGATTGTACATCCTTCCACTCAATTATATTAGCTAATTTACTAATTGTTTTATCGGAATTTTTTTCGTTAAATATAAAATAGTGTTTGGACACAGGTTTTGTGGAATGTTTCCTGTTGGAAAAAGTCTTGGATTTGGTGAATAAATTGATTAGCATCAGGGGAAACTTCGACCAAAATTTGGTTATCGCTTCGATAAGTCTCAATGCATACAGGAATATCTTTTGCATTCAATTCATTAAATAATCCTAGTATATATTGCTTTCGATTAAAGTGTCTTTGGATTAAAGCAATCAAAGTAACTACAAAGGGTAATTGAGTTGCAAGGAGAGGCAGCATTCCGCTTGGATGAACAACGCCAATAATAATATTAGCCAGAATACTACTGCATAAATTGGTCAATTCGTAACAGAGTAAACCTAAAGACATCGTAAAATAGATTATTAAAAAGTAACGATACCATCGACTGGATTTGATGTTAAATTCATTGGCTTTGAAAGTAATCACAAAAATAAATATGTGCAACTGGAACCAATGTACGATTTTGTAAAAGAATCCTTGATCAACAAAAGTTGCAAACCAATCATTAGATGCTTTGACGTAATTGACACAACCTCGTGCAATCTTGTTTCTTGTTAAAGTGATAGCTACGACAGTAACGATCATGCCTAGTAACAGGTTAATGATGAGAAATATGACAAGGCTAGGCAACCAATATAACAAAATCATCAACAAAGTGCTTAGATCTAAATGTGTATATATGTATCGAAACTTTTGAATATTGAAAATTGAACAGAGAAATGGAATCATGCCACCCAAAAGTAATATGAAATGAAGGAGAAGTATTTGATAGCACTTCTTTTTCGGAATACAACGATAAATAAATAGTTTTACGGCGTCTGCAGTATCGAATACTTGATATAAACAAATCACTTGCTGGCCTTCGATAGTGGTCACATCGGTTAAAGTCGACCTTGAAGGAGGTCTGAGAATCAACAGAAATAACTTGAAAACTATTGCTGCAGCAACGATATAAAAAATGATTTCTACATAAATTAAAGCCAAATCATTTCGTGGTGGGACTACTATAATTTTATCCAACACATTTTTAGAGCATTGCCCTGAGTAAAAAGAACAAGCATAGAATTCTTTTTTATTATTAATATTTTGTATATTCAAAAGGCGTGCTAGTAAATATTCAGTGACGTTTCGGGTTATATCTGGTGGTTGTAACCTTTCATCTTTAACCGAACAATTAAACACTGATGCAATATGTACGGGAGTTTGACCAGCGGTCAATAGATACTGTGGCAAAGCACATAATAGACTAGCGAAATCGTCTGATGTGTGGAATAAAAAGTATCCCTCTTCCTTGCATACCATATAATTACGCTAATAATAATAGTAGAACCGAGGTGTGTAATTATTAGCCTTTAAATCGATATTTACCCAATAACACGGACGATTTCGTTGTAGCATTTTCCGCACGAGTTCGTCATTTGTGTATGCTAACGTTTTGCTATCTTTGATTTGGCAAAGGGAGTAAGCTTTGAGTATCTGTGATATGACTAACAAAAGTATTGGGAAAGGCAATGAAATCGATTTAACTGCCTTCATATTAGTCGCTAATCTTCCAATGTGCAGAGCTATCCAACCTTTTTTCCAAGTGATGTAAAATTACTAGCTTAATTAACGTCTAATTGTTTGGTTGACAAATGCTATAGACACTTGAATGATATTCAATGTAATGGAATTATTCTTATTTGCCAGCCCTCCCAGACACTTCGCCTTAAAGTGTTATATCTCGATTGTACATTATACTATTCAGTAGAGTGATATACAGTTGTTTGTCAAAACTTTGTCTATGCCAACTATAAATAACAGGTTCTCGGGTGTGGCAAGCTTGTACGGTACTGCGATAGTTTATGTACAATGCGATCGGTTTTCTTCAATATGTTTGAATAATAAAAACTATAAGTAAAACGCCTCCAAAAGACCAATCGTTATGAACCTTCCTATACACATAGGTCTCTTATTACTGAAAGTTACTGACTAATAGTTATAGCGCTAAATTTGCTGCTTAAATATAAAACTTAATTACGGATGTAGAATCTCGAAATCAAGAGCTATCCGTACATATTAAAACCATGCATTGGCGATCAATTTTGTACAAATTGATGCAAAAATTGTAATGTCAAATCGATGGAATCATGTCGTAAGCTGTGGACGAGTTGGGTATGGACGTTAAATCATGAATTGATAACGCGATAGTAAATTTAGATATGATTTTGTAACTTAATTGGTAAGATATAACTGTATTTGAATGAAAATCATTGTATGACGAATTGCATATAAATCGTGAATATTGCTGCAATAATTCAGATAGTCCAGAGATAGTCAAATAGTCCTTGGTAGAGGTTAGACCAACCTAACTTATGTAATAAAGTAAAATTTACAAGGAACAGTAGTTCTCGATTTATTGTTGAAGATCATTTTAACACAAGTGTATTGTATCCTTATCGTTCCCTTGCCTTTGAAATAACTTTCGCATTTCCGGCATCCTCCAATATATATCGTACATTATAACCGGAGTACAGACTGGACTAGTCAAGACTAGCTTTGGGTATACTTTGGAGGGAGTACTGTCTACTTTGGCCTGTTACACCGGTATCGACTATAGTCTAGCCATAAACTACAAGAAAAATTCTATATTTTTGTGATAAAGTATCTTCTCCAAAATGTAACGAGAGCTACAGTTTCTTATAAACTTCATTTTATTAACTGTCAATAAGATAAGGTTCGTCTTACCACTGCCAATGACTATCTAACTACAATTAGATAATCTCTGGACTGTCTAAATTATTACAGCAATATTCACGATTTATATAAAATTAGTTACACTCTGATTTTCCATCAATTACAATCATATCTAAATTGATTATCGCGCTATCAGTTTATAATTCGCGCTTCTAATTAAAGCATCGCAATAAAAGTCTCCCAGTGCTAACATACTTGGTACAGTCTATTAATTATTATCTCAGATATCTTAATGTAAACATCTTCCACCTTTAAATACTTAGGCAATCTTACAATCTTGCGTACAATTTATCTGTTTTCATACAATTTTATAATCTTAGCCTTCAGCTTATTTGGGACTACAATTTTCATGATGGAAGAAATCGTATTTGGTCTTTAAGTGTGCCTTCCTGTATTCATTATCACTGCAATCTACAATAAATGCCGATAATAAAGCACTAACATGCAAAGACCACATTATCCAGCATTTTACTATACCGCCCGAGGGGATAGAATTCCATAGCGGATGGAAATCTCCGTGACACCGGAAGTGATTATACAGTAAAAAACTGCCAATCCGGTCCCAGCTCGTACAGTATATAAGCGTTAGATAGAACTGGTTTATCTCATACGGGTCTCTGAAGTATCATTGACGAAGATTTTCTATCTCAAGGTTTGCCTAGAAATCACTATACTGTATTCGCCATATTAGTGTGTGAGTGATGAATTACTACCGGAAACACGAAACGTCTATAAAATATGGTGCGCTTGTTGGAGTGCCGATAAGAGAATTCGAGAAAGGAAATCATCCACATGTGTACATATATGTTAATGTTAGAAAAGGCAACTATAGATCATATGTTAGCAAAGAGGATTGCTATAAAGTAGCTGTCAATGTGCAGGACTATAGTGGCAAAAATGTTTTCTTCGCTTATAAGAAAAACTTGCATGCCGCATTTTTGCAACGCTTACAATTCTTCTCTGCAGGTGAACATGTTTTGGAGCCTACAGCAAACTCTGGTGCTATTGACTATGTAAGAGGAGGATTTATTAAGAAAGAAGACTTTCGAGAGGAAACAGAAAGAGTACTATCACAACGTCTTCATGACATTGTATATGGTATGATAGCGGCATGTGAAAAACATCCTGACTCAAAAATTTTCTGTTTCGGATCAATGTTTCCTGGTGGAATACACGATATCCATATGAATCAAGGGGAATCACGATACAGGAATAAGCAATATCAAGATGGCGCTTTAATTTTCTTCGATGCCAATAAAATGCAATATAATGGTGCATTCTTTTACTTTCAAGAAGAATCTTCTGCTTGGTATAGACCGTAACTTGTGCAATTATGATGAATGATTTCAGTCCTACTTTTATATAACTATATCTTAGTAACAAAGTATTTGGAAGAGATGCCTTACTGTAGTCGCTAAATTAATACGAATATATCAAAGTCACAGTTTGATTAACTTTAGCGTTGCGAATAAGCAAACATCGATGTAGAAAATCATTCATCCACAGTGGTAAATATCATGCCAGCTATTCTTGATTAGTGTCATAAAAATAAGTAATGAAGGTTTCGTATTTAGCATGAATCATTTTACACCCATGACTAACACTATTGTTTTTAATGGATAAAAGAATTAGTTAAAAATTACTTATGGTAGAATAGTTATCGTTAGAGATCAAATAATAGCCTAATCATGGATTACAGTAGTTGTTATAGTCTTCTCTTCGTGAAATTAAGTATTTTTAATCCTTAATAGCAGGTTATCTTTTAGGCTTTATAATTTTTTAAAAGGCTTGATTTGTAACAGACAATAAAAACTAACATTGATCACAACATCTGTGGAATCTATTAGCGCTTGTTATTAAAATAGACGAGATTGTAAACTCAATATGCGGGAAAATAGAGTTTCGTTCGCTTATTTTTATTGAGTATGAAAGCAAAATGTTCCGATTGCCCCTAGATTTATAGGTCAAAGAGAATAGTACGATCGTCTTCCAAAATTTTTCTTAACTTAGATCTTTATTTCTATCTTGCTCTTGCTGGAAAGTAAATTTGTAACAATAATTTATTAGAACAGTGTTAAGGTCTCCGATATAAACAGACTCAGATATTACAATAAAATAAGGTTTGGATAATAGAAGTTGTCTACATGAATTAGGCTTCATATTTGCTAAGACGATCCTGTTCCGCTTTCACTAAAAGTCAATCAAACAATCTCTTATAATTCTTTAATTATAATTTAATACCGTATTTACCAAATGTTTATTCCGTATCATATATCATGCAATGGTCTGATGTATACTAGCAGAAACTTTGCTGATAGGAAAGTGTCTGCCATATTGTTAGCAATGTCGATTAATTGAATTCTGATTATCTTTCCGCTTCGCATCCTTAATTTAAATTGCAGTAAGCATCAATACCAATGGAAAAGGATTAATAGCTTTAAAATTGGATCAAAAATTATAAATTTTCTCTGGATTGCTTTAACTGAAAATTGTTAATCATTACATTCAGCTTTAACATAAATTAGATTGCTGTATTTTAATATCACCACAACCTCTAATGATCGCTTGGAATGCTTGTAAAAGCTGCTAATCCAATATCTACTCGTACATAAGCATGAGACATAACTAGTCTATACCAATGACATAATTTCATACAAGCTCACTAACTAATATTAGAGAAGATTTTCTATCCCAACGTTTGCCAATAATTCTAGTTAAGGGAAAATGAAATGTCTATAGTAACATATACATTATAGTGCACATGGAGTAGTTGTCAATGTGCAGGACTATAGCGGCAGAAATATTTTCTTCACTTACAAGGAACATTTGAGGCCAATTTTTGCAAGAATTAAAATCTTCTCCGCAGTTAAGCATAAACTGAAGCTTAAAGTAAACACTGACGCTAAAGAAAATGTAAGATGAGAATTTAATAAGAAAGAAGATTCTGACGGGAAGACAGAAGAAGATATGAGTAAAAAGCAATATAATGGAGCGTTCTTGTACTTTAAACTAGAATCCTCTGCTTGAAATAGACATTAACTTGTGTGGAGATGACGAGTGATTTCAATCCCGTTTATATACCCATCTCTTAGGAAATAAGCATTTGAAGGAGATAGCCTAGTACATAAATTAATACGACTGTAGCGAGGGTATAATCTAAGTAACTATAGCATTGCGAAGAAGCAAATATCGAAGTAGAAAAACCATTAAGTGACAGTAGAAAAGTATTATTCTAGCTATTCTTAATTATTTTCATAATTAGTACCGGTGAGAAAAGTGTCGTATTCACAATAGTCCATTAACACTCGTTACTAACAGTATTGTTTTAATGGATAAAAGAAAAAGTCTAAAGAGGCATTAGATAGAAAGATCAAAATGGTTGGTGGTCTAATAATTAACAACCTATAGTTCAAAAAATTATTTAGAATTTATAATTAAGCAAAGTTATTAAGAGTCTTTAGCTTAACTAACTTATACTATGGCTACGTTTTATGATATATTAGATCGCATTGGCTAACTCGCATAAAATTTATGAAAATCAAATTAAATTTTTATAAGTTCAATTAACAGCTTGCTGGTAAAATAAAGACTCATTTTAGGATTCAGCTTCAGTAATAGTTAGTATTTACGTAATACAAACTAAGAACCAGTTATAGCAGAGGTTGTAGATAGTTTTAGGATGGTAGTAATGAGAGTTACGAGAATAACAAGTTTTATTTATGGATTGTAATAGAATTTGACTTTTTCAACATAAAATTTAACGTAATCCAAGTATGTAGTAGAAGATATTCGATATCTTATTGATCATGTTAGCAATAAAAAGAATTAGATGATAAATATCAACACGAAAGTAGCACTTGTGGTGTCTAGTATTAAGTGTCGTTAATACAGATGAGATTGTAAACATGACATGTCGCAAAAATGAAGTCGGTTCTCTTACTTTTTATTGAAAGCGAAGCAAAGGCTTCAATTACTCCCAGATTTATAAGTCAAAGAGATTAGTACAGCTTTCCTCCAAGATTTTGTCACTTTTGACATTTATTTCGATGTTGCTCTTGCTATAAAGAGGGTTAGTAACAATTGGGTTATAATAGCAACAGGATGCATAGCTCCATTTAGGAACAAACTATCAGACATTGAAATAAATGAGGTTTTAACGTAGAAATTGTATATGTTGAACAGGCGTTATATCTATAAAAGCGATCCTGCAAGGTCACAGGGTGCAACTTGTGAGCGCTGGCCCTTTCTAATAAAATCTAATGAAATTCCTCCTCCTAATTCTTTAATTACTGTATAATCTACTGTACTATTTATTAAGTGTTTATTCTATATAATACTGTATGTGTGCTAATAGAAATTTACCGATAGAAAAATGCCAGCTATGCTGTTAGCGTTATCAATTAATTATATCTACTCGGCAAAAAAGTCGAACAGAAAGAAATTTCTTTCTGTCTTTATCACTAAGCTTCCAATATAGTACACCAAATAAAACAATAAGTGAGATATTTTAAGTCATTATAACTAGTAAAGTGTCAGCTGAACCATTTATGGATGTGATTTATATCTAGGGAATAGGCTTAGGTACTTTTCGTAATACTCAAAGGATAAGAAGAAAGATGGCATATTCTAAGAAACTGTAGATGCGAAGAAGTATACGCCAATGTAGAAAATTATTAATTGATAGTAGAAAAGTATCATACTAACTATTCTTAATTATTGTCGTAAAAACAAGTTAGCAAAGCGTCGTATTCTACAATAGGCTATTAATCCTTTTTATAATAAAATTGTTTTAATGGATGAAAGGATGAGTCAAAAGTGAGCCTTGCTGTATTTTACTATCACTGCAATCCGCAATAAATGCCGATGGTCTACTAATATGATTTGTTAAAGTCAGTAGTATGGCACCAACATACTGCAGACTTCAATGTCAACCACTATACTAGGGGATAGATTTCCTTGGCAGATAGAAATCTCTGTCATACTGTAAGTAATTGCAAAGGGCTGATGATCCCGCCCCTACTCATATATAAGCATACGATAACATTAGTCTATCCCATACGAGTCCATAAACTTACGTTAAAGAGGATTTTGTATCTCAAGGTTAGCTAAGAAATCGCTATACCGTATTTGAGATATTTGTGTGTAAGTGATGAATTCCTTCCGGAAAAATGAAACATCTATAAATTATGGTGTACTCGTGGGAGTGCCAATAAGAGAATTCGAGAGAGGATTTCATCCACATGTTTAGATATATCTTAATACTGGAAAAGGCAAGTGCAACCCAAATATTGACAAAGAGGATTGTTATAAAGTAGCCGTCAATGTGCAGGGCTATAATAGCAAAAATGTTTTCTTCGCTTATAAGGAAAACTTTCAAGCCTCATTTTTGCAACAATTAAAATACTTCTCGGCAGTTCAATATGAACAGGAGCCTAGAGCAAACTCTGCTGCTATTGACTATGTAAGGGAGGATTTAAGAAGAAAGCAGACTTTAAAATGAAAACAGAAAAGAACTATCAGACCATCTTCATGGCATTGTATATGATATGATAGCCGTATATGAAAAAATTCCTAACTTAAAAAAATTTTTGTATGGGATCACTGTTTGCTGGTGGAATACACGATATCTATTTGAATCAAGGAGAATCACGATTTAGGAATAAGTAATATCAAAATGGCACTTTAATTTTCTATGATGCCAGTAAAATGCAATATAATGGTGCGTTCTTCGTAAATTTATATCTGATTATCTTCCCTGTTCGCATCCTTAACTTAAATTACAGTAAGCATCATGGAAAAGGATTAATAGCTTTAAAATTGGACTAGAAATTACAAATTTTCTCTGAATTGCTTTTACTGAATATTTTTTATCATTACATTTAGCTTTGACATTGATTAGACGAAATCCTATCTTTAATTCTACTGATTTCTTCCGAATTATAATATTTAGGGAAAATTAATGATATCTATTTATAAGATTTATTGTAAAATTGGCTTTGGCTACGTACAATTATTAATGAGGCATTACTTTTTCTCTTTCATTGATTTCGAAAATTTTAGCACTTTTAATACATCATTTACTTGCTGTTATATTTTGAGATATTTTTCAAATGCGTATAAAGTATCTCGATATTTTCCTTGATCTTCGTGAATATTGCCCATACTATTATATGAATTAGCGACATTGAGGTGATCCATTCCAAACAATTTAGAACGAATATTGACACATTTTGGTGCATTGATATGGCATTTTCCCATTTACGGTGACGATAGTGGACTACGGTAATATTGCTGTATGAAGTAGCAGCCTCTACATACTATT